ATAAAATTATACCATCTCCTTCAGGATCAACTATAGAAATTGTGGCCAAGGAAAAAATGTCAGATTCTGTTTTAAATACAAAGTGATGGTCTTCGAGGTACTTACTTAAAAGTAGAAAATAAGACGAAGAAGTGTAGGTAAGATTATTTTAGTATAAATAAAAATACCTGATTTCAAAACTCTGCCAACTATGTATGTTACATCGATGAGGATCGTTAAGCAGTAATAAGTTAAGAGAACTAGTTCGCCAAAGGATGTATTTTGGGGGACGAAGATATTTTTTTTCGTTTATGTAGTGGTATACGCTTTAAGGTTAAGTAATCACGCATCTTTTCATATTACTAGTTTTGAAGGGGATTGGGATTAAGATTCATTTTATTCAAATTATGAAGATAACAATTATTCTAATCCAATCTAAATAAAATAAAAACATTAAAATGTATAATATCACTTGAAACACACTGTGTATACGACTATACGTGAATTATTTTGAATTCAAGCGGATCCCGTAGATAATAGATTGTTTTTTTTTTTATATTAATTGGAATGGCTGATTTAATTGTATTACTTTATAGTAACGATAAGACAAGGTGATACCATATCTATAATGCCTGGCGCCCAATAAAAATTAATAATAATACATACTTAATTATAATTACTCATTATTGGAGTTTGTATTACGAGATGGTTTTTGACCTACTAGTAGTAGATTTAATATGCTTTTTTTGCTACACCTATTCAATAATAAGAACATTTTAATATTTAGAGAAAAGGAAATAACATAATATAGAATATTAAAATAAAAATGAAAAACTATTTGTAGCAAATAGCATTGAGAGTGCTTCAGAATTTTAATTTAAAATGTGTGTTAAAAAATTGTAACACATATTTAAAATTATAATAATATGTTTTTCAAAAAGTTGTCTTATAAATTATTCAAAATATGTTTTAATTTTTTTTTTATAAATGCATATTTTTATACTTCTGAGATTATGATATAATTACTATTCAAAGAATCAAGTATCAACCTGTAAATAAATACGGCTCTATAGACGTTCGTGAATGACGATCGTCTGGCCAAACGAGATGATGAAGTCATACGTGATGGATATGTACCATTCGTACAGAAGTGCATGCGGTACGGTAGTGGTCTCGAACGTTACGACGGTCGTAAAAATTTGTTGCGATTTTTCACACGTTTTCTCGTTCGGCGTAGCGATAAAATGAAAAGCGCCAAACACTAAATACATACATAAACTCAATATATGAGCTTTTACAATGTATATCGTATCCCGGAAACCGAACCAATGTCTATAATTATATGGTAAAAGAAAAGCGGTGCATGGCTGTGAATACGTTATAGTGGGCGGCACAAGGGTGGGTTATTGTTCTGGTATAATATTATTATATGTTCAGTTTATATTATAACGCTAGATATAGCGTATAATGATATGTCGCTGTACACATCATTATAATACTAGTATCATCTGTGTACATAGGTCGAAGAGGATTAAAAAGAATATAAACGAGATGACATTCTTTGATAACGCATGCAACGATCGTGTGTGGTTTTAAATCAAAATCGGAACGTAATATTATAGTAGCAGTGTAATAAGAATTGGCACACACGCACACTGATGCGCGAAAAGTATGGTGAGAAAATGAAAGACTAAAAGGAAATAACTGAAGACACAGAGGGACAATGAGAGAGAACAAATTCCATTCTCGACGACTGAATAGTTTTTTAAACTTTATTCACGTTAAGAAAGAGCCTCGACCGTGACAGATGTTAATATCTGGATTTCCCACTTTCTTGGTGAAAAAGACCAATTTTTTGAACTTTTAAGTAAAATGCCATTTAAGTACTTAGATATTTGTATAAAAAACAAATTGACAATTAAAAAAAAAAAACAGAAGTTTGCATCTCCACAGGACACTTCTTCAAGTACCTTGTACAAAAAAAATCTCAATCATTTGTAAATATGGTCTTTAAGTAAGTAGATTTAAAAATTCCAAAAATTAGATTTTGAATAACTGCTTTGTTGAAGAAAAAGGGAGAGTATGCTTAGATAATCACCCTACACATAGAGCTAGCTGTATAAGCTGACTTCACCCTGGAAAAATGAGCTATTACAGTGTATCTCAGTTTTAGTATACCTCACTACCCCTAACTACTTTGACCAAAATGATGAATTGGATGTAGCTACATTTAGGCTCGCCTGGTTATAGTCCATAACTATCATTAAGTATAAGTTATATTATTTTAATAAATGTATTTTTAATGTCAAGTTATTATTTAAAAAAAAATATTATTATGATTCAACAGTGATTTTTAAAACTGATTTATTATTTATAGATCACCGTCAAAATTTAAAATGAACCACAAAATTGAACATTTTGGGAAAAGGTTAGGGAATCCTTGAAATAAAATACTGCTTTATGTCGTCAATTTTGCAACACAGACAGACAGCAGCATATTTTGTCACCATTTATAATATAAAACACTTTGGTATTTCTCTGTTGTACACGAATATAAAACAAATAATAATCGTAAGGATCTAATACGACTACAAGAATGCAGAGTGATACAGGTTATGTTTATAATATCCATTTTCAATATTTACGGCACATAATAAACACAATGAGCTCAACCTGTACAACGAATTATACGAGTCTTGCAGAGAGTAATAACGTATTTTATTTTGTCAGACAATATTGGAAAAGATTACAATAATAATAATATCACCTATAACAAATGAATATTAAACTTCGTCAGCAAATATTGATGTAATAAGTAAACTGCTTGTTGCAGGAAATCACTTCGAAGAAGCCGACATTCGACATTTTCTTCAATTGGTTCTATCACGATGAATTTATCTGTTGTAGATATCGTTACAACTTTCAACTTGAAGCGTAGTTCACATCATCATCTGTAAACGATTTTTGTAATTATTTTTGCACGTAGTTCTTCAGTACTTACTTCAAGGTTACAAAATATATTTAACTTTTTTAATTTAATTTTAATGTTGGTATTAATAGGTATTTCTGTAGTTGTAATATCTACTCGAAATAAAATATTATAAATCAGTTTATTAATTTAATAACTCATTAGTTATTAATATTTAGTTAAGTAAGTGTTTTTCGTCTACTCTGATAAAATAATTATTATTTAATTTAAATATTTACATCAGAATCAATATTATACGTTATTTTTCAACTAAATGTCTAATATTAAGTTATTTAAATCAAAAAATAATATGTCAACCCTTGTAGAATAACAGTCGGTATAAGTACCAGGGGATATTATAACATCTCTTCTTAAGTTTTTAATCTTCTAAGTAACCGTAATATTATGTAAGATATGAAAATAGTCAAGCAGAAGAAATCTTTGTCGTTCCTAATCATTAGTAAAAATAAAAATTATTTAATTCAGAATGTGTGTTAAATATATAAAACTATGCAAAAATGAAAATAAAATAAAGTCAAAGCAAATAATTTTAGAAAATTGTGTTGTATATGATAATTTAATAGTATAAAAAAAGAACTTCCAACACAACTAAAACCTTTGAAACAGGATTTTTTCAGTTCTAAGGTAATTTCATAAAAAAATAGAATTGTTTTTTTATACTAATGTGAAAGAGAACATTTTCGAGAGCAAAGTAAAACTGGTAAATGATTCATGTTTTAACAATATTATCGATGTAATAACATTACTGCATTATACTGTATTATTTTGTATATTCACAAAATACGTTTTTCGTATATAAAAAAATAAATCTCATTATAAAATAAAACATATATATATGCTTATAAATATTTATTGTTACAATTGGATGTTATTTTCGTGGCAGTATTTTATTTTTAAAATATACCTGCTAAATGTAACTTTTAACTATAAATAATTGAAATAATCATAAAAATGTATCTGGAAAACTTATGTTATAATATAAGCTCTATCTTGGATGGTAAATGGATACAAGTTTTGTTCTTCATATGAATAAGATAGACGAAATGCATTCGCATTAAAATCGTTTTTTTTTGTGATTTTTTGAGTTATCTTATAGAGCAAAATCACCTATTCAAAAACTATAGAGAATAATATTTTTGAATGTTTGACGTGCCTAAAGGTTTTATATTTGAATTATTATTTGAATTTATACTCAACTTTTAAAATAAAAACTATGTAGTACATTTAATTTTTTTGTTACAATATCGAGACATAATTAATTTGTCATATCATAAAAATATTATTTTTATAAACGTTGTATTAAGTGATAAGTACCTAAGGTAATTATAAATCATTTTAAAGACATTACTTAATTTGTATTTTCTATGTTGCGCATGAGCCAGATAGAGAAAAAACAAACAGCGAGAACTTACGCTGAAATAATCACAATATCGTTTTTACTCGAATTATTGTTCTGCGTACCTTCTGCACCTATTATAACGTAATATTATTATAACAAAAAATAAATACCATCTTCTTAGTATTTATTTCCGGCACATGTGAGGACTTTCGGAGGTTATAAGACGGTTGGCACAAAATAGTATAAAAAGAAGTCTATAAATGAACACACGACGAGTATTATTTTCGGCATACCCTATGTAAACGTACTTCTACGACAGTGATAATAATAATAATAATAATAATAATAATAGTCATTACATTTAACTGTTTGGGAACGAAAATATGTTACCGGCGCGCATCGTATTATTATAAAAATAAAAATAATATTATGCTATCCGGAAACACCACGTGCACGAGGCGCCTTGGATCCTCCCCCCGATCATTGGACCCGTTTTTTGGTTTGGTTAGGTGCCCTGAGCGACAGACAGACCGGTTTTTCGTGTCGGCACAGCCAAGTACGACGACGTCGTGATATCCATCATATAGTTGTATACGTCACGGCAGCGGCGGCGGCGTAAGTACAGTTATTTTATTATGCTTTTCAGTTTTCATCATTTTTTAATTTTTTTTTTTCATTTATAAATGATATTATCATTTTTTGTAATGCATGGATTAAAATTCAACGTTCTTCAAATACAATTGTCTCGTTAATCACAATATTATCCAATATTTTATAATAATTGATATTTAACTACATAACGGCCGTTCGTATCACACTCTTCGATATTTAGTTGATTGATCATCTTGTTAGTGTACGTAATTTTTTTGCTTTTCTTTTATTAGTATTTATTATATCTGTAATTGCAATATTATAACGTGAATACGGACGGACAATTACACTTTTATTTGGAGATTATATTTTTCGCACCACTTTTAGTCCTTGGAAATTACACATACTAATTTTGGTAATCTGCGTCAGCCTTACAATTTTAGATATTGACATTTATCTGATAAATTTATAGAACTCCTATCAGTTAGGTACAACACATAAAACGTGAATAAATAATATGAACTATTATTAATTAGAACAATACATTTGACAATGAACAATATAATATTTCTGATTCTTACATAAGGTTCTTATTTTATTATTTACTACAATAATTTATTTAAGTTGGCTCAAATTACAACTTTTATAAGTACAAGATTGTGCAGATTACATAATACCCTTTTATATCTAGTTCTATTGTCATTTATGTGGAGTAAATAATGTTTTTATTTTTTTAATTTCGTTATTTTTTTTTTCAAATTACCAACATATTTTTATTTTGTTAGATTAATTATTAAAGGTACATAAAAAATATATTTTACTTTTTAGTTAAAAAAAACTACTAAGTATTGTAGTGAGGATACTATAGTACTGGGATGTATGTGGATTTTAAAGTGGTCTCTATTTATGATTCAATATTTGTAATTATTGATCGAGTAATCCATAAAGACAACAAAGTCGTATATAATATTATAATAAGTAGTATGCCATAAGTACTATATATTTTTCCACTGCAAGCAAAATTGATGTGTTTTTTTGGTATAGTGAAGATGAAAAAGTAGCAAGCAGCATTTTATAAGGAATTTAACTTTTCTTTTTTTTATTTATATAAATATAATAACCTAACCAATACATATACAAAATAGGGAGTAGTTAGTATGACATTTTTGACTATCTGAAGTACTCCAGAAAATATATACACCTTTTTTTCTCAAACATTCGATTACAATTTACAATATAATATCAATAAAATAAATAAATTATGCATTATACATAATAGTAATAAATCATGCATTTATAGGTATATCTTGCAGACCATGTACATTATTCGCTAACATTCCTAGCTAATATAACATGTTTTAATTTATATCATTAAAGTACCTACTATTTTAAATTAGTTAATATAATATTTTATTATTTTATTAAAATTAAGGAAATATATAACGTTGAATAATATATAATTTAAAATGTAACGCTGCCGATCAATACTCTTCGATACACTTAGCCAAGAAGGTGTACGTTTTATCACGAACTTTCAATTATTATAATTTAAATAATATTTCAATGGGAATAATATGGTCTCTATTACAGGCTTTCAACTTTTTTAAAAAAAAGCTTAATTGTTACTGATAGCATTTAGCATAGTTTATTGTTTTAACCTATATAAATTGAAGTTTGAACTATGTAGTTAAATTGTAATTATACACATGATGTGTTTTAATCATAGTATTTTAAACGTTAATAAAGTGAAAGGAATTTTGTATGTTTTAATAATCCCGCATATTTTTGATTCGAATTAGATTAGCGATTTGTGTTTTTTTCTTTATTTTCAGTAGAACAACGCTTAGATTTATGAACTAGTAACTGCAACATACAGAGATTTAGTTTTAATATACATTTTATTTAACATATTTTGATTTTTGTTCGGGATTAGTTTCATAAAACATAATTCAAATTATATGGACACTATACCATTGATTATATTCAGAACTATTTACGAGTGAGTTGGCATTAACATCACGTAAATTTCAGATCAGGACAATTTACACAATTCAATAAACCTATAGCTAGATAAAAATAGAATTGATGAAAAAAAGTTCAATATTTCATCTATTCAAATATCAATCAAGATTTTTTAATTATTTTTTTTTTAGTGGATAATTTTCAAGTATAACAACACAGATACAGAAACTTCAAATTACACACAAAGCGGAGTGACCAACTCATCGGGTAGACGTCGTACCGGACAGGTGCAGTAAAGATGCGAGGCAGCTCTGAGTTGGCGGACCCGCCGGACGAGCAACCACTGCAGCTGCAACAGCTCGGCGACGGCGACGGACTGCAGCGGCGGCCGGACCACAGCGGCGATGTGGCCGCCATGGCGTGGTGCGACGCCCGGCTGCCGGCCACCGCGGCCAACGTCGCGGCTGCGGTCGTCGGGGTGGCCATAGCGTGGTCACTGCTGTACGTGAACGTGCAGTCGGCAGAGCTGATGACCGTACCCGGCGGCAGTCTGTCGTCCATATTCATGCTGTACGTTACCGGTACGGTGGCCGGCAAGCTCATCTACGAGATCGTGGGACTGCCCCCGCGGTTCGGCATGCTGTTGGCCGGCATCGCACTCCAGAACGCCGGTTTGTACACCGTCAGCGGATGGTGTTCACATCTGGTATCCTTCATCAGGTGACCGAATTATTGTTAAAAATACTTTTAAAAAGCATTTCAATGTTTCTGACAGAATTGAGTTGTTGGACTTATAATTTCGAAAATAAACACGGGTTATGAAACAAAATAGATACAAAACGAATAAATTACTTTTAGAAATACTATCTTCACATATTTATTATGCTGTTACGTCTTGTTAGAGTAGATTTAAGTAGGTACCTACTAATAATAGTAGTAGGTAGGTACTTATGAAGTAGGTTCTAATTTTAATTTGCAATTTGGAGTTTGAAATACAAAAACCTTAAAAATAGTCTAGGTGTCTGTATCTACCAAATAAATAAATAAATAATAATAATTTAATATCTACATATTTTAAATTACAAAAAATTATATAAATATTTTACTAGTACAATTATTATTTTTGTTCATAGTCGGTATTATATTTTAAGCATTTTTAATGACGTTTTGTGAAAATATAAAATTTTGAATTATAAATATTTTTCAAGACTAATTCTAAATATTTTAAAAGTGGTTTCATCTCCCATATCAGCACCAGCTATAGTTCTTGAGTAATAACGAGCTAATATAGAAAAACGGTTTCAGGCGGCCCACGGGATATACCTACATGTTGAATATTGACATCATATCTCCCAAATATCCACATTTCATTAAAAAAAAGATAGTTTTATCAATGTCATACCGTTGTTATTGTTTCAATACCTCACTAGTTTATATTAACAAAAAACAAAAATAATGAATTCTCGCGTCCTTATGTGAGTAAATTATATTTTGGACAGTCTTTACATTATAAAAATGCCAAGCCGCATAGATAAAGTTTTTCTCATTATCAAAATTTGGTTGAGCTACCGAGAAAACTATTTCCGTAAGTTGATCGCATGCAAAACTATTTTCTTGGATAAATTACGAGTGGTGTGGGCGTGTGATGTTCCCTTAAAAGGACATCGAATCCGCATTATTGTGTTGTCTTGGTCTTTCTAACTTATATCTTAGAAGATTTTACTCTGTTATTTTAATATTATAGTGAATTTACTTACTATCAAATTGTTACGTAAGAATTAAACAAATTTATAATACTTGAATTTTGAAGAAAATAATGATGAGCATTTTCAAATTTACAAAAAAAAAACTTTTTAAAAAGCTCATAACTTACTTCAAATTTAAAATATTAAAAACTCTACACTGATCCTTGAATATAATATCTTAGCATTTCATTGTAAGTAAATTCACTCTAAAATTAGAAATACCAGGGTGGAATGGATTCTACTGAATGTAAAATTAACTATGAATATTATGATATGAAATTGAGATAGTAATACGGAGTCAACACAAGTTGATACGACGTCCTCTTAAAATTAAGATGAGATAAATATAGTGCCTCTCAGATAACGGTAAAAAGGTTATGGTGCATCCGTCTAGCCGCTATAGAAGGGGTTTGTGGTGGTAAGATGAACAATATAAGGAAATATTAAAAATTGTTTTTCAGAAAAATTTCGTTTTATTTTATTTGATAACTGAATACCACTGCCTTTTCAATTCAAAAATACACTTATATATTAGGCCCAACTTGTTAAATTGCAGTAATACAATAAAACAATCATTCAATTTCTATTTTGAATTCACATTTGATTATTTATTCACACATATTAACGGATTCATACTTTTTTTTATCATAGTTCGTTCAAATTAATGGGATCTACTAATCATTAAATTAAACATTTTGATTTTTTTCGGTAAATATAATCGACACAGATACAGAGTACGGTCAGGTGTACACTGATCCACTCCTATTTGCCCATAAACGCCTAGTGTGCCGGTTTTTAATCATTTCGTTTCCAGAGAAGTCTCACTGGCCGTGACATTGATCAACGGTGGACTGGAGCTGGATGCCAATCAGTTGCGTCGACTCAGAGGCGTCGTGGCCCGACTCACGTTGTTGCCGTGCTTAGCCGAAGCCGCCACTGTGGGGGTAGCCGCACATCTAATTTTGCCCGGATTCTCGTGGCAGTGGAGTCTGATTCTCGGGTGAGTACTGGCACATATATCACTATTAATCGTAATCATAGTGTTGTCCTTCAATATAATATTATGTAGGATCGCATTTTCGGTTTCTTAATTTCTGCGCATATGTATCATCGTAGACTGCAACGTGAAGTTATGCGCTTCAAACGTGATGTACGTCATATAAGTAACACGTCTTCTAGTTGTTCAGAGTATTTCATTTAGAACGAAGGACTTAAACTTATTTCTACTTTATTGGAAAACTTATTTTGAACAAAAAATCACATATTCTGTCAAGTTCACATACATTTTTGTTTACCGAACCTGTATAGGTTGTCCCTAGTGGCCATCATTAATGTATAATATAATAATTTCACATTACACTACCAAAGTTGCACCTGGCCCCTGTAAAAAATATGATTACGTTTCTATGGTAATCTCTAAAAAACGGTTTCAAAGATGAATTCCCGTTAAACCTATCTATAGTTCATTATTTTTTCACGCACCTGAAAAATATGTATTCTTATGTTTCTAAACATAAGTTTAGAACACCTTATACCCGGTTGTGTCAGTCCGTTAGCGACCAATGCATGGTCGAAGTTATTGTATATAGTTATGATTATTTGTATTAATATATTTAAATTGTATTTAAAATTATAGTGTGTTGCATTGTATTAAAATAAACGTTTGGAAACTAGGAATTTAGTACGCTCGCAGAGTAATTTTTCTTATCATGTATTTTTATTCAAAATTTTCTTTTTAAGTTTTTTAATTATGACTGAACAGTAAGTTTTCATATACTTTTTTTCAAGCTGCATATTTCATTTAAATTAATCAGATTTTGGGTTGGAAGTATTATCGATGTATCCGAGAAGCCATAAACTTCCTAGAACAAACTGCCAGAATTATTTTCTACATTATTGTTAGTGCCGATACATTCATATTATTTTTATATAATATATATTATATTATGCACTTCAGTGTAAATTATGTTTTAAAAATTCCTTATTACTATTTGTAGTTTTTCACATCTATTTAGACATCCTAATGTAATTATATTATTTTATTTTGCATTAGGTACTATTCAATAATACTGATATAATAGTAAATAACATATTATTATGTTGGTCGAAAATTACCTTTTATTAATTGCAATTTGTGTTTTTAAAGGTTCACACTGTCTGCCGTTAGTCCGGCCATATTAGTGCCGGGCCTATTCCAACTGAAACGTTTGGGCTATGGTGAAGTAAAAGGTGTTAACACTTTGTTGATTGCCGCTTCGAGCTTAGATAATATTGTGTCAATCTGCGCATTTCGGATAATATTAGGAGTCCTATTTCAGACTGGTAAGTAAACAATGAGTGACATTAAAATAAAATTAACACAATGAGTAAAGTTAACGTCATCCAACGATGACCGATATTATTCAACTTATCAGCTTATCACGAGCACATACTACATACTGTATATTATTATAGTAATTTATTTTTGCAGTTAAAAATTAATTTTGATTTGTATAGTTTCATATTTAAATTGTAAATATACAAGCCTATCCGTTTAATTTAAAACTATAAAATGTAAAAAAACATTTAACATACATTTCAACTGATTTTCATAGTAATACATTTTCAATAAACAGAGGTACAATTAAATCTGGAAGTTAAGCAAGTAAAACTATGTGTTAAAAATACATGGTTGTATCAACAAGTCGCTTATAATTAGTTTTATTACATTTTTATTCAAACCATTAATTTCAATATTTTGCTGTATACTACTATAGTGAATTTATTACTATTATATCAGGTAGTCTGACGAGTAAAATAATTCAAGGACTCATTGACGTATCAGTGGGAACCGTGTTGGGAGTCGTGTGGGGTTTCTTTTTGATTTTTGTGCCTCCATCGCCATGGGCTAAGATATACAAAAATCAAAAAATCGAAAACACCGACAAATCACAAGTAAATAATTTATATATTTACAAACATGAAAAGCCTTTTAATTTTAAAACATTTTACATAATAATTATTGCTATTTCCATTTTTATTAATAAATACAAACTCATTCAAAATTAATTTTATATATTTACTTGTATTAACTTGTATTATTTTAGTATACACCTAAACCTAACTTAATACTAATATATTTTTTTTATAGATTTTAAGATTTATACTTAAACTACAGTTGTAGTTAGCAACAAAATGTTCTAAATTGAATTTGAATACTTTAAGTTTACCTGTAGTATGGGTAGGTTTTATAGACATATTCTAGTCATTCAAACTGAATTAGCACAGTTTTATGATATCATAAAAGAACGATGGACCAAATACCATTAGTCATTATCCAGTTCTCAATTTACAAATTGTTTTCGATTATTACTGTATGAATATTATTTTTTGAATAATATATGGTGAAATATTTGATTTCTTTTAGATATACCCATGAATCGAAGGTGTGGTCATAAAGCATGATGGCCTAATAAATTTATATCGATACGATGTTTATAATGTAATATCTATAACTGCATAATCACATGATGTCCTGTTTGTGTATTCCAAAACAGCGGTTGGACCGATCGATAACAGCTAAAAGGTCGTTCCTGCTAGGCGCTGGCGGATTTCTAGCGATGACCGGCAGCCGGTGGTGCGGTTATCCTGTGGCCGGTCCATTGGCGTGCATCATATCGGCATTCGTGGCTGGTACCGGATGGAGATGGAGATTGAAAATGCAAAACCACAATAACTCTGCGATTTCGGTGGACGAAAATAGCGATGACGAGGACCAGTGCCGAGGAAAACCGGTCGAAAAGGTTTTCGAATACGCATGGACCGGTCTCCAACCGTCCGTCTTCGCGTTTTTAGGCACCGACATCAAATTCGAGCTGCTCAAGAGCTTCGACATGGTCTTAGTCGGATTACTTGTGCTCACGTTAGGAATCGCAGTACGCATATATAATTAATTAATTTGCTTATTATTACTCATACTCAAATTATATGATGGTATTGTGGAGTCAAATGATATTACGATTAATATATATATTTTTCTACTTATAAGTTATAAGTATCTAGATATAGATTACGATATCGTCAGTGTTTGATTATAACTTCCATTTGAAAATTCAAGAAATAAAAATTATAATAAAACACTCATATTATCTTTATTCACTGGCAGAGCATTTCGTAAATTAAATATAATAATATTAGGGTACCGGTCGCCAATTTGAAGGGACATTGTGTTCGAAAGTTCATGTTGTTGAAAAATCGTGTTTTCAAAAAGCCGTTCAAAAATATATTTGTTGGAATTTAAAAATGAAATTGGGAATCTAATTGAAATATTGGACGTAGAACGTGGTTGGATGTCTCACATAGAAGACCGGTTTTTCATGCACATATATATGTATAATATACCTAATATATTATATACTATATAGTCATATTCATATAATTTCATCATTCAGTTATTGTTATATTATAGTATCGATAACTGATAAGTATTGTAGATACAACAATATGTAATATGAAAAATATCCCGTACATACCAATATAGATGGTGAACATAATTACATTATGGTCTTAGTAGGTACAGACGTTCAGTATAAAGTACAGTGTACAACACTTAATTGTGTTGCTGAGCAAACTACGTGCTTTTAAAAATAAACATCAACATTTTAAATGTTATTCATGGTAGTGTGGTAGGCAAAAATAAAATAGTACCTTTCATACACCCTAATATTAGAATATTCAGGAAACTGAATTTAAACCAATTTGAAAACATTTCGATGTCATAACTAACTTTTTTGTACTCGTATTTATCAAGTTGTTTAAGATTTTTAAGACTGTTTTAGTATTAAAATATAACTCAAATCAATAATATTAAAAATCTATGCTTCATTTAATAAAAAATAAACTATTGAAAAAATCATAATATTTGTTTTAGGTTCGTATGATTGTTACTACGTGTTCGGTATTGGGCTCGGGATTCAGTCGTAAGGAAATAATATTCGTCAATATTTCTTGGCTTCCCAAGGCTACCATACAGGTAAGTGGTCACGTGTCAACCAAAAGTACTAGGTATCTATACTATCTGCGAACAATGTTGTTTTTAGAAATCCAATGTTTTTTTAATAATTCATTCATTTTTCGTTCTCATTTTTTTTTTTTTGCAGGCTATTCTAGCTCCGTTTGCATTAAATATAGCGAGAGAATTGGGAACGCCAGAAGACGCCGAATGTGGAACTCGACTGGTGACCATTGCCGTGATCTCCATTTTATTAACTGCACCCATAGGGGCGATCGGCATAAAACTTTTCGGTCCCAGACTGTTGCCCAGAGCCAATTGACTATGATAGGTACAAGTAGAGACAGCCGTGTAATAGTCATATTTTTTCATTCTTACATTTAATCAATTGGATTTAATTATTTTGAGATATTGACACGTTTGCACAAATGTATAGTGTTTTTAATCATTTAGATTATATTCTACACATTTTGAAATGTCTGTTGTATACGTTTTATTATTGTCATATAATTATTTGCTTGTATGAGGCGTCAGCTTAGCTACACAATAAATCATCTTTCATCACCTTATTACCCGAACAGATTAATTACAAAAAATATACCGTTGTGCAAGAGTATCACATCATATTATCATCTACTTCGAGGACGGCATTTGTTTTTTTAGCCAAACTTATTTTAACGATACCTATCAGAAACTTTTCAACGTGGGTGGCACGTGCAAACTATAATAATATGACAGTGTATTATATGTCAAACAAAATATTTGCGGTCCATGGGTTGGTCACACAACTTAACAGATCATTAAAACCGTCGTTCTGACAAACTTTGATGCCATTCGCCAGTCCAATCTGGAGAGGTGTTCGTTGAACATTTCTTTGCAGGTCACCGTGAACCGAAACCAATATCACTCCGATAACGGTTTTCGTTTGATATTTTTGTTAGTAAATATATAGCAAAGGGCTTCAAATTAACTTCAAAAATATTTATTTAGCGCAATCGTAAAAAAAAGGCAAAGGTGATACAAATTTGTTTTATGTTACAAACAATTAAAATCTGTACTTTTATGTTGCATATTTATGTATATACAGATGTTTTGGGTTTTTGAAACATATTCAGGTTTATTCCTATATTTTTAAGCCTTTTTAACAAACATTTTTTATAATAACATTTATTATCAAAACGAGATTTCTTATCACTCAATTTAAACACACCCGCAATACCGCAGAAGAATATATGCCAAATTAATTAACATATCAATTAAGTTTATCAATCAATAAATATATTTGACTATTTCTTAATCAATCAAAATAAATGTTCGTTTCCTTTAGATAAAAAAAATATTTTTATGTATTTAGCATTATTATGAAATTTATTTAAATTTAGTGCTTACCGAATAGTAGGTATTTTCTTATTACAAATGGCAGACATTCATCTTGTTAAAATGTATTAATAATTACCTTTAAAAAAATGGAAGTGGATATTTTAGGTGTTTTAAGTGCTTACTTGATTGCATATTTAGTAAGTTTATTTTTGGTTATAAATCCTCTGCCATAGTCGTTATATTATATAAATTAGTGACCGAACCACCGTGTGTGTTTGAGAAGGACCTGCATTATGATTATTGTTTATTTATTCATCGAAGCAGACTTCAAAAGAAAAAAACATAACATCGAGGTAAAAATGGCAAATTGTGATAAGTGCTATTAATAGTCTATATGTAACAACAATATTCAACAATCAATTAATATCGGGTGATATTGAAAGTCAGCTTCGATTAAAGAAAAAAATATTATTGAAATGGTTTCCTAAATATTTTAGTTGGTAACCACGTAACATCACGACTATATATGTTGGTACTACGAGACGAACACGAGGAAATATATATTATATATCTGGTCTGGGTACCATGCAATAAGTAATGACTTGTTTATTCGCTTAACAAAAATAATACATACCTACATAATATAATGTGTATGCATTCACGAATAATGTAAAACCGCTAAAACCAGTAATCTTCACGTTTCGCTCGCGGTCGGAAAATATATGAATATATGATACGACATTATAATGACACACGATGTAGTACTATGTTATTACACAGTCTATTTTCGGAATCGGTTCACAGAATTCTATTCCAAAACACGTTGATCTATTATCCGTGCGAGCATGTAAACATTGCAAAATAAAAATAATTAATATATTCGCAAAATTCCGATGATTTACTCGTATCATATAATGTATCTAACCTGTGTGGTAGGGTCAACCACGTGATAATATGTAAAAAAAACCATAACTTATTCTTTTTAGGCAGCGATACTCGTTAGTCTGCGTTAGCTGATCACATCGGCAACATGATCCGCTACACCGCTGCAATTCAATCGCGTATTTATTGCAGTCATAATAAGTGTTGTTCAAATGCGTATTTTTAACCTTAGTGCCTGCAGTTATATTGCAATATTGAACTAACACGTGTTGCAATTTTTCGGTTTGAATTAAAAAAAAAAAATCACAAATCCGAAAGTCCATTACAAAAAATATCATTATTTACCGAGTAAGTATACCTATTCAACAAACATTCCATAACATAATATGAATCATGTATGATAATATTATATACCTACTGAAGTAATTGTCTTCATCTATTATGTCTATATATAGATATTTTATTATAATAAATTGTGATGTTTACAGACAATATCGATATTGATACATAGGGTATATGTAAAACCGATTATAAAACACATAAATTGGATGCCTTCATTTCCGATACATTATACATCGATCAGATGAATAGATATAATTTAGTTGTCCCCGAATTCGTAACACAACATTTTCGTTATTTAGTTCAACAAATAATTAACTTTGACAATGATATTTTATAATATTGGTATTGTGTTAATATCTAGCTCGAGCTTATATTAAAATATAATATAATATAATAATAACAAATTCAAATAATGGTTCCAAATAATAGTTAAGTAGTAAATTTTGACTGAACACTTAAAGTGTATTTTTTTTTTTATAATACGTTGTTTAAGCCTTGGCACATAGACATAACTAGATACCTAGTTTATATATCTATGCTTGTTTGTAATAATGTTTGTTTATTTAAATTTAAAATATCCATTAATTTCCATGTAATTTGTCAAGGACACCAATAATTTATTACGAATAAAAAAATATGAAATACCCAGGTACATTTTTAAGGTACAGCGGAATTTTAATCAATTGAACAAACATCAATACTTAGAAATAATTTTTCTCAAATGTTTACTCGATAAAGTTTCTTAATGTAGATTTGAACTTTACCAGCGAATATTAAGTCAAATTTTAAAACAATAAATATCAATAAAAAATTGTTTGAAGTTCAGTGAGCCATATTCTTATGTATTTGAAGATTTTAATAAATTTATATTATTTTTTTACCAGTAAATAAGCTCCATTCTGAAAACCAACTTTCATTTTTTTTGTTTGTACAAAAATGTATAATCTCTCACTTCAAACGAATTTGTAAACACACTTTTATACGCCCATATTATTATGATTATATATTACTATTACTATTACTATTACTATGTATTATATATTTTATAATTGTTTTTTGAAATGTACAGTAATTATAACTTTACCTATATTTATCTATATTTTAAATCGAAAAGTAGTATGTATTATACATATTTTACTTGTATGAAAATAACGATGCTTTCGTAAATAATATTCAAACTGTTTGACACATTGTAAGTACAATGTATAAACGAATAATGTTGGTACAAAGTAATCCAAGTATAAACCATTCCTTCAACGACAATCGCCTTTCATATTAATATTTGTATAATTATATATAATATTACAAGCTCTTCGTATACACACCATTCTTGGATAATATCCAATTTTTTTCATGTCTATGCAGTTGTCTAAATTAACCGTTCAATCCGAACGTTCTACAGCCACGTATACTAAAACTTACTGAAGTAAGGTCACTATAAACGAAAAACTCGTTTTTGTTGCTTGTTGAAGACTGGCAAAGATTACAATATTTTTTATAATACGTATTGTATGCGTACAATGATTCAATGTAAAATCGTTATTACTTACCATATGTTTATCGTCGAACCATCTATAATGTATCTAATCCATCCATGCAAATAGTATTACTATAAATAAACGTTTTGTCATGAATTTTGAATCAATCTTTGTAGGCTTAAACATATTATTATTACTGGAAGATTGCGTTAATGAATATGATTATACGCGTTTTGGGATAATTATCTACTATAAAAACATCAAGTACCTAACGTTGAACAGAAAATTAAAGAAAATATAATTTTGTTACTTGGAATTTCAGTTGACATTTTCTTGCTTCAATAAAGAGAACAGGTATCGATTTTACCAAAAATCTTAAGATGAATTTAATATTTATAAAATGTGATAGAGTCTATCCATAAAACGAGGATTTACTTGTATAACAGAGTATAATAATTGTTTTAATTATAATTTTAATTTTTCTGTACAAAATGTATTCCAAATAGTTCAAAAAAATAAATCAAAAATGCAATGTAAATTCCGTGCTTAATAATTCCAAATCATATCAGTATGTTCACGATATGAGGTACCACTTAAAATGTTAGCTCTATGACCTTGTATTGAAATGGGGTTTTAGGGAGGTGATGGAGAGTACGTAAATACACATTTTCAGGTGACTTTCAAATTTGTACCGCTCTCGGTACGCGCATGTACAATACCACTTACTTTTTTTTATGGCAAGTCCAATTTCTTTCTACAGACTATGGTAAAGTAATTTTTTTTAAACAATTTTTGTATAAAAAGTTTTTTTTTAATTATAAAATTGGCAATGTTACAGTATGATCTAATTTAATGTTTACGAACAATCTGGTTTTAACAAGATTGTAACAATGTTAATTTTATAATCACGCTATCGCCAATATTTTTTAATTTGCTATTTGTACATTTTGTCAATCCTACCGATGTACCTGATAACGCGATAAGACTTTTAAAAACTGATTTGAATTCGTTTATATGTCTACTTGAGATCGGTTTAGCCACATTTAAAGATAAGTACCTATTTAATTTAATTTTCTAAAAATCAACATTTAAATGTTCGTAAGTTTTAAATATTCAAACAACAATTACTGGAGTTGTGGAATAAAACGTTAAATAAGTGGCCTGCTTGATCCCAAGCAGACATATCAATGAATTCAAATCAGTTTTCAGAAGTCGTATCGCGTAGCTGGTCCATCGATATGATTGACAAAAGATTGGAACATTTTGGTTGAAATAATTGTCCTTTTGCAATGCTCTTAAAATCAAATCAAATTCATAAATATTATTATACTTGATCATGCTGGAACTTTGCCAATTTTAAATTTAAAAACAAAGTATATAGGTATAAAAATTGTTTGTACAAAATTACTTTACCCGCTATAGAAAATAATTGGACTTGCCCTAAAAAAAAGTAATAATGCGCATGCGCGTACCGAGAAGGATACAAATTTGAAATTTACCTAAAAATGTGGACTTGGGTTCTCCTCCCTATCACCTCCTGAAAACCTCATTTCAATCCAAGGTCATCCAATTGAAATATTATATGGTAGATATCTCATATCGTTAACACATCGTATTTCAAAAAGTCCTTTATTCTTATGGAAACAATTTTAAAACGATTTAATGGAAGACAAAGTATTATATTACCATACGTCATCTTAAATATTTAAAATATGTTATAATATTGTTGCATTATCGTTCGAAAAGTTTGGAAACCTGCAAGTCAAACTGGAGATTTATATTGTGACTTTTTATACGACAAAAGCGAATTTCATTTTCAAGTCCAATTCTAATATAGAAAACAAGGAGTGAATAATAGGTATATACGAGTATTACGCTATAACAAAAAATACCTACTCTGCGTGCAAGAGTATACTGTTAAGTATAATGACGGGATGTCGGGATGAATATGCTGTGGCTGGCTTGTGCGCGAGTCGATAATGACACGGAAAAAAGTATATTATAATAGCGATATACATGAAAATAAAAATATTCAAATGTCCCGATGTAATTCAAATCATTTTACACTTAAAGTTTACGACCGGCCACACTCGGTAATATATTATATTGTGTGCATATCGTGTATAGTTTACCGACCCGCGGGGTCTTGGAAAACAAAAGCCCGGCGTACAGAATGCGAAAACCGTTTTACATTCGTCGGAAGGATATTATAATATGTATGTATATATATATATACGAGTGGGAATTGACGAGTGTCGTCGAGGAGTTAAATTGTTAAATCGCTGGTGTGCGCGAGTGTTGCGTAATGGTCGATTACTTTAGAAACGCGCGGGGGAGGAAAGGAATGAACGTGTAATTGTTTCTGTTCGTCGAAAAGGTTGATAAAAAAAAAAAAAAACGAAAAAGCTAGAAAAAACCGAGCAGAAAAAAACGTGTATGCGTGAGTGTGCAAAAGAGTGAGAGAGATAAACGTATATAAGCGTTCCGCACACATATTATACATGTATAAAAAGCGAAAAAAAGAAAAAGAGCTTCGATCCAATCGTGATTCCGTTAGCGTTTTGTCTATTTCGTTATTCTTTTATTTCGCTCGTTTATATAAATGTGTGTGTGTGTGTGTGTGTGTGTGTGTGTACTTAGTTCGTTCTGGGTTTTTTTTTCGGGTCGTTTGTTTTCCGACTGGAGTAGATGTTGCACGGGACTGTATATATATATATACATGTACTCGCGTCGTCTGGGCATCCCACCCCTGCCTCACACCCGCGCACGATGCCCACCAATTCCGTCGGCCGTATAATGTCATTAGGTATGCAATAGCAGTTGCGCGGGACGAGAAAAGAAAACCTCCCCGAATGATCGTAAGAAGGTGATGACTTGTTCGCGGGATGTCTTTTGCACGGGGTCTCCCGGACCGAACGAAATAGGGGACGAGTGGACCGAGCGGACCCGGAGGGGGTGGGGGTTGAACACGATTGTACGCTAAACTTATGTAAATTAGTGAGCACTCGACGGCGTGTATATACAATCGAGGCGAAGAGCTTCTTATTGTCGTACAGTCAGTGCGGCCGAATCGTTAGCTTTTTATTCACCGTTCCGTTTTTGCATGTACTCTACACGCTACACGCAGCCATGACTTTCCGTTTAATAGGATTTTTTTTTCACCCTCTCCCCACTTCTCCCTAAAACTACACTCTGTTCCGTACAACAATAATACGTACACCCGTAAAAGGAACTTTTCAATTTTTTTTTATTTCGTTTTTTTTTTTTTTTTGTATTGTTTTACTCACGAATTTTCTCATCTCCAAACCAGCTACGGCCGAGTGTTTTGAATCGGACCATCAACAAACTGCACTCGTACTTATACTTCGGGCTGTTGCATATTGTACGACGTTCGAATAGTACAACGTAATATAGCCACAAAGTACATTTTTCGCTTAAGGCCATATGAATAATAATATTATTTTACAAGCAATATGCGCAACGCCGATTTATAAGTATTACACAATATTATAAATTTATAATATATTAGACGGCCGGTGGGTAGGTAATAAATGTTGAAAATATAAATTATGATATAGACATATTATTATTGTTGTCACCTATGTATCTGAACCATATTGGTGTTGGATTATGGAAGTTTATTCAGTTGTATATTCGGCAGGTAGACTTATAGTAATTTTGTATTTTATTTAACTCAAAAACTAAAAATCCAAAAAACGTATTATAATATGATATGATAGATATTGCTTGTATACACTAAGTTTAATTCAAACTAAAATAAACCATATATTTTTTAAGTAAGTTAAATAATAAAGTAAAAAAATATTTTTCCTGTATCAATAGCGATGGACGTTAAAACTTGTTCTGCGAGTATTAATGCAAAAGACCAGAACAAATTTTTAAAAGCAATATTTATAGTTAAAGCCGCTTTTATTTTTATTGTTTGTTTTTTAAGTAGAAAAAAGCCGAATTTACCTGTTAAAAACTTGAATTAATTCCAATCTAAATACATAAAAACGTTTTACTTAAATATTTATACCTGTTTTTTTTCTAGATAGTTTCCCAGAAGATAAAACTTTAAAAAGTTTATTTAGTCAACTTTTTTAAACTCGTTTTATTACAGTTCAAGGGTTTTATAATATCGTTTTTATTTCCGAAACGTTCCGCTCAAAAACACAAAAAATTCAAACAGGTAATAATAATAGCATTATAAGAATTATATCGGTGTGCACGTTAGACGCATTTTTTCCGGCTGTAACAGCCATACTCAAACTGCGGCTTACTAAACTTTTTTATGTAGTTCAAAAAAACTTAAAACTTAAAACCAAAAATCATACTTATTTATAATTTACTCTAAGCATTATATAGCAATAAATCATAATATAGTATTGTATTTTTAATTGTTTTATTTTTATTCTATGAGAATCATCTCCCCTTAAGTTCCCTTAATATTACTATATGTTCCAGCTCCTCGTGTATTAATATAGTAAACATATATTGTGGACAATGCAAAAGAAATAAATGGTTTATTATTTGTATTAAAAAAAAACGATTTGTAAAACATTTAAATTAATAGGCTTGAGTTGTACACAATCGTGTCTTAGAGACCACTCCCCAAATCTGTCATAGTTTACATTAAGACTACGATCTACTTGTATGTGTTGTCCTAGTCTCAGCCAAACACACCACATAGAAAATAGAATAGAATATTAGATAGATTGAGACATATTGTAAACTTTAATTAAGTAATCATATTGTCTGTAATCCCTCATTAGTTTTGAATGTTATTTGAATTGTTAATCGATTTATGGACCATTTTATATTTTTTATTTAACATACTCAAAATTTACCACATTGGTAACTTTTTAAAAGTGAAAATACAACATTTCAGCATTAAGTATGACACACGTAAACAGGATTGTGCTTAATAGGTAAACGTCATAATTGTATGTTTAATTCGATAGATTACATCGAATAGAGTCCATAGATTAATAAGAATAGATTATAATATTATTTTATTTTAGTATAAAATATAAATTCTAATGGAGTTTTAACTGATAATATTATGTATATTATGCATGTTAAATAAATGACAAGTCGGTAAATAGCATGTCCGTTTCTAATATTCATGTAATAAATTGTGTTTATTGACTTACAAATGTAAACATGCGAAATGGTGAAATAACAATATAAAGTAAATACACGTGATTCTAATTCCGATAAAAATCATCAATAGTTCAAAATTTCACCATCACTTCTAGGTTAAAGGAAAATTATTCAAAAGAAATTTTTTTTAAATTAAATAATTTTAAGAATAGTTAAAAATGTGATATTTTATCACTTCAAACGAGGCATAACTAAATCTGCTTTAAAATATGCAAGAGAGTTTATCATAATCAATTTGAAGATACGTTGGAATAACGATGAAGTACAGGGCACAAGGTTTTAGAGTACACTTAACTCAAATCCGGTATCCGATAAAAGTACCAAACAAATATAAAATTTCGAATATTATATCTAATAGAGTCATAGAGATGAAAAAAATATTTGTATAACTTCAATAAACGAAAAATATACAAATTAATAACTTCTATTTCGTTTTGTATATACATATAGTTATATAATATGTTAAAATAGTTTAACAGTATTATAGTCGTCTCGGTTTGTAAGGTTTATAATAAATTGTTTACGTTTTAATACAGATAACGATAATAATTTATTATTTATTTAAGAATAATTATTGATGTTTTAATATTAACCTCAACAAAAGGAGTACGGACTTATAATTCTTGATAGTATTAACTAATAATGACCTTAAAAAAATGTCCATTTTTTACTATGATTGATAGAACTCAATTTTAATTTAATAAAATTACAAGTATATTAACGACTTGGGATGACTTTTGGCCAACAGAACTGCGATGGGTGACAGGAACGGTTCAAAATTCGGTTCGGAACTGCATCACAATCAGGATGACGCCCGAGTGCAGTTCACGGACAGTAACAGTGCAGCAGGTGTCAGTGGCGGCGACGCTTTGGCATCCGCAAGCTGTTGCGACAACCGACTGCCAGCCACCGCGGCCAACCTCGTGGCCGCTATCCTGGCAGTGGTCATCGCGTGGACGCTGTTGTACGTGAACATTTCGCCTGAGCTGATGGCCATGCCTGGTGGTAGTCTAGCGTCCATATTCGTGCTGTACGTGACAGGCACGGTGGCCGGGTGGCTCATCACCAAAGTCGGTGGTCTGCCTCCACTACTTGGCATGATGTTGGCCGGTATCGCTCTCCAGAATTCCGGTCTATACAACGTTACCGGTTGGTGTTTCCATTTGGTGTCCACAATGAGGTGAGCTGCCTCGCGTCTCGACTGACGAACGCTACTTATGTTCTACGAATATATTTTAAATTTCCAGGGAGATATCACTTCGCTTCGCACCCCTAAAAATTATAATTGAAGAATCGGGAAAAGCCAAAAATCGTACGTCTGTGTTTCTATTTTAAAATCATTTTATCGGGTAAATCTTTGATTACCTCTAGTCGTTATTTCTACCCTTATAGATTTCTATAAGGTGGATCACACAGGAATTTAATTTTGGCTCGCGAAAATCGAATGTTTGGAAATAACCTATAGGGTTATCGGTTACAGAAATAAAACAGAGATTTATAAACCGATTTATACAAACATGAAAATTAGTTTATAATAGTTTAGTAGGTAGATAGCTTAAATCACGTTGAAAAATATTACATATTTACAAGTGTTATATGTCTATATCCAATTCCAATGAGCTCACCAAGTGAACGAGACACGGACGCCAATTTTCCGTAGCATTTATAGCACCGTATTTTATATTTGTTCATTTTTTTACCATGTTAAGTAGTTTTATATTGCTGATATAGCTTGTATCATATAAATATTCATTCATAAAATATTAAGTAGGCGCATATAGTGCAACTCATATTCTATACATCTTGTAAAAGCTAAATTAAGTTAATTTATACTGTACATCTCAGAGTGCTTGGGGGTAAGGACCTTCGGCTCCATATAGTTAAATAGAAAAAAGTACAACTGACTGTTTGGTGTTATACAGAGAAGCCGCACTCACTGTCATATTGATCAAAGGTGGCCTGGAGTTGAACGCCGGCCAGTTGCGCCGGCTCAGCGGTGTAGTGGCCAGGCTCACGGTGTTGCCATGCGTGGCCGAAGCTGTGGCCGCGGGTGTGGCAGCCCATTTTATTTTACCCGATTTCTCGTTGGTTTGGGGCCTGACGCTTGGGTAAGTACCTAGTTCATTAGAATATTATAATCATAATAATAATAATAATAATAATAATAATAATTTCATTGAATTGGCTTAAGAGAAGATAGAATTTTTGTTTTTAGCTTGGTTTTTAGCACTGAGGTAAAAGTGGAAATAGTGTTTAAGTACTAGCCTAAAAAACATTTATTCACCGATTGCACTAGAATTATAATTTAAGCAAACTAAACAGTAGAGAATGATGAAAAAAACAAATATCAAAAACAAATGGATAAATTAATTGGTAGAATAGAATAAAATAATTGAATACCAAAATACATAATATTATATCATATAAAATTAATAAAGTATAGCTGTTCCCTGTAATCAATAGCAATTAATAATGCAATGAGCATGATGAGAGGCACAGAGAGAGTTAATTATAGTTGGTTTGTTTTTGATTTTAGTAACCATAGTTTGATGTTTTTTTTAAGGCTATGATGTTATAAGTTATAACTAGCAACTGTATAACGCACTTCATTAGGTTATGATGATATTTATGATATGCTATTATGACTTGTGAGGTAGGAGTATACAATATAAAGTAGATACGGAATTCTGTCGAATTCAGTAGTTAAAGCGAGAAAAATTTAGAGGGGGAGGGGGCTACAGACACCAACATTTGAGAAGTGTTCCGAAATTCTTCTTCCAAAGTCTATAATAAACCAAACTGTTTTAAAAAACTCACTAAGTATAAACCTTCATCATTTATTTTCTTTATTTACCTTTGTTAATATGTGTATCCAATGTACGTGTTATCAGGTTATTTACTTGGGCAACCGGGTGTATCTATCTATATATCAATTATCTATACTTAGACACAGCGTTTAATATGGCGACGGACTAAGATATAAAGTCCCTGAATGCACACTACTACATTAGGCGACTAATAATCGCATGATTCCCTATATTCAGAAACGTGGATATTTTCGAGCGAAATATAATATTATGTTTAAATTCGGCTATTGATCACCTAGTGTGAAAGTGTGTAAGTTATTAAAATTAACACACAATATAAATTTCTTGTTAAGCGTTCTCCCAGAATTTGGAGAACTTAATTAAGGAGGACGCAAAATCTTTCCAGAAATAAGAATGGGGACTCCACCCCCCTTCCCCCCCCCACTTTGACCACTGGTCGAATTCAGAATATAAATGAATATAAATGATTAGAGGATATTTTTAAAAAACAAATGCCGAAACTAATTGCTTTATCAACGAAGTATATAAAATCAACTAAAATAATTTGACGTATACGCCTATGAAGTTTAGGGTTCTCATCCGAAGTACAAAAAATACTGATTTATCTCGTGTCCTCGGTATCATCGTCCGATTTTTTTTAACTTTCCCTCTTATTTGTCTTGTGTGTTTTTCCAATCAGTACCTACCCTTAGGCTCCTTAATTTGAAAATTGAAGTTGTTTTTAATTTCTAACTTTTCAATAATTGTGTTCAGATTTTATTTGCTTTTCTTCTTAAATTGTTAGTGCTGTAGAATAATATGTCCTTATTATATTATGACTATTATATAATCTTAATTAACTTATGCTATTTTACTTCGTGTAATGCGTGTCTGGATTCGTGCCGGTTAAATATTAATGTAAATACATTTTGCATTCAATTTTCCATTCATAAAAGTACTGGATAGAACTTTTGGTTATTTTTAAAACCTCCAAAATGTGTTGATTGAAAATATGTTATTTCTGTTTTCTTCACTAAAAATGTTTGTTTATCTATTTTAAGATTTACCTTATCAGCCGTCAGTCCGGCAGTATTAGTTCCTAGTCTGTTCCGACTAAAACGCGTAGGGTACGGTGAAGTAAAAGGTATTAACACGCTGTTGATTGCTGCTTCAAGTTTGGACGACGCTGTATCCATCAGCGCTTTTGGTATTTTATTAGGAGTCCTATTCTCAAACGGTATGTATACTCTAATATAAATTTGTTTTTTTTTTAAATCCTACGTACATTCACCATTTAATAACATTATTCTGAGCAATACGTCATTATCGATGTACTAAATTAGAATATAATTATATATATTTTATTTCTTAATATCAATATCGATGTAATATTTTTTTAATCTTTGTTCTCAAACCAAAAGTATTTTTATGGTTAGAGTTTTAATTTTTAGTGATTTCTTAATATTGACATGATTGTACTTACATTTTCAAAAAGTTTCATGATAGTATAAAATAATTAAATAAATATAATTTTGATTACCTATAATTTAGGTTATTTGTATATGATTAATAGGTAGCTTGACCAGTAAGATAATACAAGGACCAATCGACGTGGCAATTGGAACCATGGTGGGACTTATATGGGGTTGCATTTTGATTTTTGTGCCTCCATCACCATGGGCCATGATATATAATACACGAGAAAAGAAAGTTCAAAATACAACAAAATCTGAAGTAAATTTATTATTCTGAAATAATTTGTTGACCTCGTTAACCACAATGGTCATACCAAAAATAGATAAAATAATAGTTTTATTCTTAGATCATATACAATCATCATACCACATATATATTGTATAATATGATCTAAAGTTTTATATTACAAAAACGTAACATTTTGTGTATGTGTGTGTGAAGTTTCCCTCTTCCACCACCCTGGTAAAATCTACCTTAACATTGTCAGTTATAACTTAAATCAGTTATTTAATAGTAAGTCCACTCCCGGAATCTATTGGGACTTTAACCAACGTTCTGCCCTGTTTGATTGAAATCGAATTTCAAATTTTCACAATAATTCACAATTAGGTACTTACGATTAATGGGCTATTACTTAAATTTTATTCACGGAGAAGGAGGAGTATTCACATACGTCTAATTCTGTTAAACGAAAATCAATTCTGTTTAAGCCATCATAATTTTATATTATGATCATTTTTTTTAATTTTCTCGATCATCCATCCTTCATTTCCGAGTACCTGTCTTTCCGTAATGGTTCAATACTGACATTATAATCATAGTCAATGTACATAAAATAAATAATCGATGTAGTACCTAACCTGTGTTTTTGTTGCCGGAACATATAGATAGAAAATTCCATTACGGCAAAAAGGTCATTTCTACTGGGCGCGGGAGGGTTCTTGGCTGTGACCGGAAGTCAGTGGTGTGGATATCCGGGAGCAGGACCTCTGGCATGCATCATATCAGCTTTCGTCGCGGCGACTGGTTGGAGGAAACGGACAGCGGAACATAGACGCAACAACCCAGTGATCTCGGATGACAGAGTGAACCGAGAAGATGTCGAGGAAATCGAGGAGGACGGTGAGCTTGCAGTCGTACAGGTGTTCGAACACGCTTGGACATGTCTGCAGCCTGTGCTGTTCGCGTTCATAGGCACCGACCTCAAGTTTGAACTGCTGAAACGTGGTGACATGATCTTCCTCGGACTAATCGTACTCGGGTTCGGACTTGTGGTATGTGATGACGTGTGTGCATCGAATATTGCAAATTTGTTTACACAATGTTTCTTTGTACTGCTCGTATGTGATTATGACTTAAGAATGGATGGTTTTTAGTTTTTATATTAAGGCACACAAGTGCACATACACATTTTAAAAAAAAATTGTATAATGCGTGATAATTAGTACGGCTATTTACGCTCGATCAAATAGTAGCACTTACTTGGATGAAATATATTTTGTTATAATAAGTAGTGAGTATTTTGAAATGCATTTAGTCACAAGACAAAATTATTCATTTTTTTTATTCATGCTTTCTTTCACAAGCTGTTTATTTTATTGCATTAAAATAATTTTTTTTATTTTCATTCTTATTTTAAATGAGTTCGTCTCATAAAACGTATAAGAAAATTAATTTTAAAAAAAATCCCTTAAAAGATCTGGACCCATACATAAAATAAACATTAGTAAAAAAAAATTTTCTCCTGGAAAAGTAGTGTCCCTTTACATAAAAACTATCTATTGTTTAATAATATAATCTTTAACCTTATGGTATCAAATAAGTACCTAAAAACTCTAATGAAAAAAAATATCACATAATATCGTAGTACCTATTTATAAATACTTACATTCATAACTCTGCTCAGAATCTTAACTAATATAAATCAATATTATATTTTGTTTTGTTTTGTATGTATTATCGTTTTTAGATTCGTTTAATGGTCACCACTTGTTCAGTGGTCGGTTCAGGATTCAGTCGAAAAGAAATACTATTCATTAATATCGCATGGCTTCCAAAAGCTACAGTACAGGTAACTTAAATCAAACTACATTATTTTTATTTATTTATATACGCCCGAAAATTAAGTTATTAAGGTTATTAATTAGGATATTTGATTTGAAATTTAAGTAATTTATAAACACATCATTAAACCTTCTACTTTTTGAAAGCGATTTAAAACATATAATATTTATAACGACTTTGCTCTGCTAAATTACCACGGGCACCGATATAATTCTATTATTTTAGTATCGTTTGGAAAATAACTTAATGGTTCGTTAAACATTCCACATATTATGTAGTCCTTATCAGTCACTGGCATTGTGAAATTTGTGTTTTCTGAGAAAAAATTCGTCTGTAGTATAACCATACTGACCTTAACATTTATAGAAGCACTAGGACAACCAATGATTGGATATATTTTGACAGATTTATTCAAAAAATATGATTGATTATTGTTTTTTTCTTTTTTTTGCAGGCTGCTTTAGCACCGGTGGCTTTGGACATCGCAAGGAATTTGGGTACAGCAGAAGACGTAGAGTGTGCAACTAGACTGGTAACAATAGCTGTGATTTCTATTTTGCTGACGGCGCCCGTAGGCGCATTTGGCATACAGTTATTTGGTCCTAGACTGTTGCCCAGAAACAGTTAACTATGACAATTCCTTAAACCACTTCACACACACAGTCAATTTAATAGTACCCCAACATATTCGATAATGATACGAATGTATTAATACAAAAGTTGTAGTAAACCAAAACTATTTCACAAAACAATTTAACTACAGCAACTCATTAGACATTAGAACTTTCGTTTAATTGTACATTAAAGTCACATTAAAGTATTAAACATCCCATTTAAGATGAATATGAACAAAACTATTATATACCTACTGCAAACTGTACTTAAAATTTTCAACGTTGTGAAAAAAAATAAGTGTATTTTTTGTTTAATTTGTGTATGAAAACAAAACGAAAAAATAACCATATATCTATGTATTAAATAATTATAGCATAAATTAAGTTGTATAAGAAGTATTCTATTTTATTTTATTTTTCATTCATAAATATCTATAATCTGAAATCTGAAATATCTGATAATCTATTTTAAACTTCGTTTATAAAATTAGTTTTTAAATTAAGCGATTTATTCATCATTACATAATAATGTAATACATAAGTATTTTATGATAATATAAAATACTAATAATATGAATATAAAATAATATATTGATTTATTTTTGTAATTTTAAATGTTGTATAATTAGTAATTACTAAATTAGTATAACTAATAACCAACCACAAGTTAAATTTTTATTAAAATGTTTAAAGTTTGATTGTAAAATAATAATATAGGGTTTTTTATTTTTAAATAATCTTTTATTTTAAGTTTTTTTTGGAATAATTATGTGCTAATTTTTGGCATACTTGGAGTAACACATAAAAAATATTACTATACAATTTTATAAATAAATGTACATTGTTTTTTTTTTTTTTTTTATTGCACCAAAAATTAATCTGTGATTGGCTACAAATGTATCCAAAATAACATGGCTTGTTTGCTTTTATATCTGTTTGTTTTTCTTTCAATCAACCACTTCCGGCTTTCAGTAAGTTCTTCAAATATTTTAAGCATACCACATAACTCTAAGGGTGTATCTAAAAGAATCCGGCTCATAGAGTTATATAGTCCTAACTAATTCTTATTTAAACATATTATTATATGTCTTAAATAATATTATAATGAAGTTTTTTTTTTAGGGTATAATTCTTTAATAGCTATGTAATTTTGTATAAATTATATCTTTCAATTACATAAATATTTATATAATATTATCTATACCTAGGCATTTAAGTCACGGAGTTATTGAATATTATAATTGCACATGTTTGAGAATGGCATTCATCAGTACCCGCATTTTAGCTCACACACACACCAATTATTATTTACGACGAACCCATAGGTTTAGGATAGTGACAAGGAAATAAGAAATTGCCTATTGTCCCCTTCATTTTTTTTTTTTATTATTATTAATATAAAGTATTCATGACAGTCGACATCATCTAAACTTAGGTGTAAAGAGTTAATTATTTTTTAACGTTTATAAATTAGATCACAATTATGGTATAAACAGTTAAAACTATGATTTAAAATATACTGAATAAGATAAGATTGTGAAACATTAACAGATAATAAAAATAATAAAATATAAGACAATAATTACATAATACAATGGTAAATTAAAGATTTAGGACTTCGTGTGGACGATGTGCCCTTCATAAACCACAGCGAAACCACTCAATGTTAATTCTCAGTTATAATAATATAATAATATAGTATAAAAATAGTATTGTGGAGGTTAAGATGCTTAAATTGTACTTGATGTATAAACATTTTTAAACAAATTAACGAACCAAAAGCTCCTCCACGAAACGATTTAAACTAGTTTTATACAAAAAACTATAGATTTAATTAAAGAAAAATGTTGACTCAAATAATACATACTTGTTATACTTTCCAGAATTGTATCATATTTTTTAAATATCATACAATAAATATTTAAATTATGTTTAAATCTATTTCAAAAATTAAATTGCATAAATAATAGATTATGTAAAAAAAAAAAATGTATAATATTGTAAGGTACCTACATGATTATTTGGTGTAAATCTAAAAAGAAAATTTCCAGAGATACATGCAATTTTCACCAAAAGTTTATGAGCATTTTCTAAATATCCAAACAAAAATTTCAAAATATTCTAACTATTTTTGAGCCATTTATATAAGCATATGACATTATTGATTACTATTAGTTTTTTTTTTTAAATTAATGTCTATAAAAAAATTTAGTTCAGTCAAAAGACCCTGAAAATATTATAAAATGAGGCTCATGATAGATTGTTACAATAGGAGTTGAAAAATATTAAAAATACATTGGCACGTTTTTGTTTTTTAAACATTAACAGAACAAATGTTTACAACATTTCTCAAATTAAAAATTGAAAAATAATTTTATAGTTAAAAATGTATTAAATGTTCAGCTTTTATAGCTTAGGATTTAAAAAAATCTTAAGTAGAGTAAGTAGTTAATTGTGTAACCAAGAAATCTAAAAATAAACATAAATACATCTTTTTATAGTTATTTAAAGTTACAATGTAGACGACATTGTATATTAACACAAATCATGATTTTAGTCATTTTTTTGGTAATTTGGTTCCAAAATAGCCCAATTTTACATAAGTATATTTGATATTTTTCCAGCATCACTGATAATTTAAGAATGATATTAATTCAACTTACCAGCTATCATATTAATAATAAGTAATAACAATATAAAATACCCTAGACTGACATACCTTCTCCGCTCAGAATCGTTTTTCGTATACGATGATAGGATATCATTGAATACAAATTTAATGCCATCCATTATAGCGACCTTCCAGACACCCAATGCGCAGCAGAGCGACATGCACTTACCAGTTTTTTAAATTATTTTTATATTTTTTATTTAGTAAAAACGTCCAAAATATGTTGGTTTTTCTAAAAAAAACCATCATTGAATGATAATTTCCGGCATGGTTGTGAGACATCCGTTTTACTCAGGCTTTTAGGTTCCGCGGGAGCGTAAGTATTTTCTATTTAATTTTAATTTCTTTTTTCATGCGTCTACCAGAGTTTTAGCAACTTGTGTGGTTTCAGATGATTGATTTTCTTTACTCGAACGGCTTGTCGTCGTCTTACCTCGTATAATATAGTCACTCAGTTTAGAAAAGGTAGGATGTGTATTGTATAGGATAACAAAAAAACAGCGAATAGATAATAGTGCAGTTGACAAAAAATCGGAGATCGTCAGATGGCGGAGAAAATAAAGGAGGGAGAAAGAGAGTTATCAAGTAATTTTCTTCATGAACGAAGCCACTATAGCGGGGATGAATGATTTAACCAATTTGTAAACGATGATTGCTTTAGACGTCGTCCTCACCCGCACCGTCAGCCACCGACCATCGTCTGTTCCTCAGGGAACACTGATAATTATAATAAATATTAATAAGTACATAGTTTTGCCTGTGTCCAATACATTATTTTATATACGAATTACGATCCAACATGTATACAGACTTGTAAAATTTTTAAATTAAAATATTCAAAAACTTTTTGAGTAGGTACTCAAATACATAGATACATATATTTTAAATATTTTCTCAAAATTTATGCACCTATTTAATATTTTTAAATTAAATACTAATATAGGTATTAATCAAATACTTTAACACCTTAAATCTTTTTCTACGTCCGAATTCCGTTAATCTATGACCATGATATTATCAGAGAACTAAACACAATAACACAATACACAACAACATAGTACTAATTACTAACCTAACCTAACCTAACCTCGATTAAAAACTAGGCTCTATCCTTCATATTCTCCAAAATCGAGATTTGTTATTTTATATCCATAATAATATAATATTCCGATGGAAATGATTGAAATATTAGACACGATCCGCCCTAAAATAAAAAAACATTAGCATTAAAAACAGGCTGACAAGACTATATAACTTACTTCTCGAGTCATATAAGACTCAATATCTCTTCACTGAATGCCATACATATCACAACATCCGATCAAGCCTCAACCACTCGCCGAAATACTCCGCAATCATCCCAACGCCATAGCCGACATCATGCAATTCATCACAGCAGCAAACCTTCAATCAAAAATTTAAAATTAAGTTTTCTTATGGTATAACCATATTTAACATTTAACATGTAATTTAAACATTGTTAACCCAATGGCCTATGTTGCCGAAGGCTCTTTTTTTAAATTAAAAAAATATATATATAATATTATTATGAATATGCTCTTAGAAGTAAATACTACATATTTGTTTACAGCTAAAGGCAGTAAATAATTAAGCCACTGTGTGATATTCATATGAAATAAACTGTACATACTATGTTATTTTATAAGTTATAATATAATATATATATCGCATTATCGTGTGTAATATAAACAACGTTACATCTATGAAAAATATATAAAAATATTTAATAACTCAGTAATAATATTAAACACAATATGAATATTATTTAAAATAATATAAATTATAATACAAAAAGATATAAACACACATTTTTATATTAACTCTATTTGAATGAATAAAGTAACACGTAAATAATATGATACTATCGACGACGATTAAAATACAAATATATTAAACAAATTAATTCACGATGATATCTGATACCAAAATATTCCAAAATTCGTATATATAATATTTTTGATACAGATATATTGTATCATTGGATGCATCATTAAATGATAGAAAGTGTTCATTCTAAAAAAAATTTTTTATTTTTAGAAAAAACCTTTTCCTCCTGAATTGGGAATTTAGTTTCAAAAAGTTCTTTCTAACACTCCAGCCCCTCTTATATATTTTTGAATTTACGGTCAAACCAGTATCGCACAAATTCTGAAAATAGACACACATATTAACACTAAGAGCACACTAATGTTTGGCAAAAAATAATTCTGAAAAATTATATTTAGGTGTTGGCTGATGAAATTTACGTAGTTTGATTTCCTAAATAAAAATTTTCAATGATATATTACCTTTTCATTTCCTGTATTTTCTTTATTAATTTACCCACTTAACTAACTTTTAGCTTAAAAAGTGCGCCTTGAAAATATTAATGTGTAAAAAAAACAATTTCGAAAAAAGTTGGATTTAGAACCATTTTAAGTCAATATTTTAACTAGTGATTAAACTATAATGATATTTTTTGTATTATTATTCTTAGTACAGCATAAACTACTAATTTTTTAGTTTACAACAAAATAAATATTAGCTACATATAAATGCATACATTTTATTTATGGAAGACATACAATTGTACAATTTAATTTAAATTATTTAAGAACATATTATCGTGTAAAAAACAAGCCAATGGTCATGCTATCGATGCTTTTTCTTTTCTTTAATAAAAAAAAAAAATGTATGCATATAATAAATATTATAATAATATAATGGTCATGATTATAATTAATATAATTTATCTACTGGATATTTTTACTTTTATACACCTGTACAATATTATGGTAGGCTACTTCAGAAATGTTTACTTAATTTCACTGGAAACTTGTTTTTCTTATTGGTACTTGTAAATATAAAAATTGTTGAAAATACTACTTCACTACATTGTGTGTACTATCTATATAATATTAGGTAGGTACCATATTATAATATAAATAGGTTTAGCATATAGTACTGGGTATGATAAATTAAAGATAAAATGGCTAATCAACCGTGTCTGCAATAAAGGAATAACAAATACGTTTTATCCACTCTATCAGTGTAATTATGATATATTGTACATACATACGATTAGCCGCTTAACAAGAAACTGCAAGAACATAAAATGTAATTATTGGTAAAACGTATTGTTATTGTTATATTAGTATTTTTTTTCTCTTATCTCCGAGTATATCCTCTTCTCTCAGCATTCTTAAAGTTTCCTATCCTAATCGTACTTCTTGTGGCCTTTGACCAAATTCGTTACAATAGTTGAATGTTATTTTATCAATTATGTACAACAGACATCATTTCAAGAAAGGTGTCTAAAAAAACACAATTTTTTTCGTATAGAAAACAGCTTTGATTTTCAACACTTATCAGCTGTCGTTTTTTTTCCGATAGTAGTTTATTATGTAAGCCGCAATAATAATATAATACTCGTGTAAACAGGTACAATTGCTGGTACCATAATCTATTTTTGTTATAAATAATATTAATTTACAAACACCGTGTTTGTATCGCCCAGGTATTATGATGTGTGTGAAGCAAATTATAACAACAGTTCCTTGATTTTATAATTTTAAACGTCGTATGTTTTCGCGTATTGCACTAATAAAGTAATAAATTATGTCAAGCAAAGAGGAGAAAATTCGTATTATCAATAAATACCATTCAGAAACAGCGAACTATGACAGTTTGTCTACAGGTAGTGTTTGAAGTTTGAAATATTTCATAACAACATTGGATTTTATTCAATTTAATCTTAATTAGATTTATGAATAGGCTAGTATTTTATTTATTTTCTTTAATAGTTTATTATTACATTTATAACTTCAGTGATAGTAACTATGGTCACTATTTAGATGTACAGATATGTCAACGCCTTCTTTAAAAGCCTGGTTTTACAGCTACTAACATTTTAAAACATAATTGTATTACTATACGTATACGTCTATTAGTTCATAATTTAATATAATTTAATTTGTTTTTAGCATAGTAGGTTAACAGTTACTGTTCTCTTATAGGTAAATATTATGAAAACCGATAATTAAAATGTATTTATGAATCAAATGAACATTAAATATTTAAATTTGCTTCAAGATCTTATTCTTATATCCATATTCTTATAAATTATATTTTATAATTTGCGTTACAAATTTATAAAATTAAATTCATAAGTCAAAAGTCAAAATATATTTTTAAGAAATTAAAGGTTAAGTCATTTAGTCTTGGCTCATGCCTCATTTTTGATATTATGGTCAACTCAGAGTTTATTTTTTAAGAAGGTTGGTGAGTAGCGGTGAATAGGTGAAAATGTAGAAATAACTACAAAACCTAGTTACAAATATTACAGTGAATGCCTTTATTGTGTTATCAGTGTTGCAAGATGGTTGAAATATCAAAGTAATCACTGAAAATCTTTAGTTTGAAACTCAACTGACTACTAATAAGTACATCTACTACAGCTAGATGGTGTTTGAAGTTTGAAATATATTTTTATGTCGATATTGGGATTTATTTATTTAAAACAACTATTCATAAAAGCTATTTTGAAAGTTTGATTTTTTTTTAAATGTTAGTGGTTTTATCTTGTATATAATTAAGTTGATACAAATATCAAAAACGTATGTATATTCGCATGCCCGTTAATGAGTATCTTAATAATTATGTTTGATCATAGTTAAGAGATTATTGACTGTTAGGCCATACTCAATACACACACATCACACAACGAGTTATCGGTGTCGGCTAAAACATAAGCTACCTATACAAATAGACAAAATATTAAATATTATTAATGTTATTACCTACTTATAAATTATAAGCATCATATTATTATACTATTTAATTTAATTTGATTGGAAAATAGACTTATTGATTCTAGTAATCTAGTCCAATAGAATGCGTGGAGGAAATCATAAGTTCTTTCTTTTTTTTTTAAGAGAAAAGCATTCCTTCCTTTTGAGAAAAATTGTCCTGCACTCTCGCCTATAGGCTATAACATCAGCTATGTATTTGCACTTACACAAGTATTTCGGAAGTGATTATTAAAAAATGTAATAAAAATCAAAAATTATCAATACTTGTAGGTACACGCTGTACACAATGCACTATACAAGGAGTTTATCCAGCATCATCGTTTATAATTTTTTTACTTTAATCGAGCGCATAAATTACAAAATACAATTCTTCGCAAGTTCGTAGCTTTTGTCGATCAATGAGTTTAAACTGTAAGCTTTAAAATCGTTTAAGATATTTTTCAATTTCACGTATAATTTAACATAATATTCACGTATCTATATACATTTTGCACGCTACGGTTTTGTTAAGGTTTGATTCGGTGTACATTAATCTGAATGACATAAAATTACATATATTATACATATACATATATCACTCAACATTATTGATATAATATAATATATGTATTTATTTAAAGGTTATTGAGTTCTTAGTTGAGGTTCTTTTTATAATGATCATTCATAATATATTTTATTATTGATGTTAATAAAATTTCATTTAAAAAAACTTAACTCGTTGTTAACATCACTACAAAGTATTAACTTTCGATTTCCAGACAAATAAAAAATCTTAATTATTATTTTGCTTATACCTTTTCTTTACAGTAATATAAACAATAGTCGGTTAGACTATAAAGCGCTATTGTGGCTAGTCAAACAAATTGTTTCGTTGTGGAATACATTGAACAGTGGTTCCGACCTTTTAGGTACTTACTAGTTACTTACCTTAGAGAAAATGAGTCATAATCAACTCTTTTTAATAAACACCCCTTTACCAACATCTCTCTTCACAACGAATTAACACTTGAAATTTTTGTTTAAAAAAAAATATTTTTTATACATTACTATAGAATTTATTAAACATAATTTTATACTATGTGGTTTATCAATGAGATTTTCATTCGGATTTTTTTTTACGATATTATTTGGCAGCACGATCCGTCGTCCATCGATTTGGAAACACTCTTATACAAAAATTAAAAATATAACATTAATTTGCCAACTGTTAATATTGTTTTAATGGTACATCGATGTTTCAATAATAAATACCTTCCTAATACATCATTTAAAATGTTTGTAGGATATAATGTTATTATTACTGGTTAAAATTATTATAATAAAGTGACACTCGCGACAACATGGCACTCAGCACGTGTTAACCACACCCATATGGCCGCCACCGTGTATAAGCCACCGCCTAAGGCTACTCTTATTTGAGACAGAGTATAATTTATTGAGTAGATACACTAATTCAAACTAATTATATAAATTTATGATTCGTTTCATTTTAAATTGTATTTATTTTAACTTGTTGTAATTGTATTTTTATTTTAAAGTATCTCAAACAGATATAATATAATAATACAATATAAAATAAAAGTTTTAAAAATGGTGTTATATTTGTTAGTAACCAAATCGTTTTTATATTGTCATAATAAAAAATTTGCCTATTCTCCGTGGTTATCGTTCAAAAATAATATCAATAATGCAACAATAACAAAACAAATTAATTAATAATATGAATTATTAAAAGACGTAATTTAATAATATTTCGTCGAAATAATATTATCTATTAGTACAATAATTTTATATTATCATGTGAATGCAATTTTAAATATCAACCGTATTCGTATTAGATGTAATTAAGTAGGTGTACTAGTAGACGTGAGTTAATCTACATGAAATTTTTTATCATCTAATTATCACTTAATTAAAGTGATGGAGACTGTATTCATAGTGCACTGTCGAATTTAAAAGTTGTAACTGTTCTAAGCTAGTTTTTGATATTAAGGTTGAGTACACTTATTTGTCATACACGTATAGTCACAACTATTTAAACTTTCAAGTATTCCTATGCACACAAGTTTAGCATGTGGCAACAAGGTTCAGAGTTCAGCCAAGTGGTTGATTTTTTTTTTGTTCGCATATGGCTTAGAATAAATTCAGCTATACATGTAACCACAAGACTTTATATGGTTTCACTGAATTTAAACAAATTACATACATTTTCTGTTCAGAACAGTTTAACCTTATTATTTGACATTTCTACTTTACCATCAATTTAGAGGATACATGACAATTGCTGAAAAACTTTTGATCTAAAAAACAATTGCCTATAAACGACAATAAATTGGTCGAAGAATAATGGTTCACAAACAACAAATTCGTTTAACGTATTCAACTGAAAGCAATGTTATATGCCGGATAACGCGATAACCCAAATAAGTAAATATTACATATATACCTATTTTGATAATTCAAACTACGATTTGTACTTAAAAAGATGAGATACGATAGATGTCCAAAAGTAATTGTATATCTTACGTCGAAGCACTGTATATCTGTATGGAAAATATGGTAAATTATAGATTATTTCAGTATTATATTGGATACTTCAAACACTTAGGACACGTTTTTGCCATCATGAGTTTGGTACATGTAAAAAGTGAAAAAAAATAAAATTATGTTAGTATATAAAGGTTTTGTACGCAAACATGAAAAAATTATAGTGAAAAAACGTATTGAAAATTTGGAAATACTCCGACAGTAAAAATCTCAAATGCAAAGGTCAAATTCATGTTGTCAACAAAAATGTCATGAAGTTCACCTAACATAATAATTATGTACCAAATGCAGAAAAAATTGACGTTAATAAATCTATATCACATTTGAAGGAAATTTCTCCTCAGCCTACACACTTTGTACTCATGCTGTTACTAGAGAAATGTCCTCGCAAGTATTACAAAATATATTATATTATATCTATATAATATAAATATAACAAATTATTTTTCTATAACTTTAAAATTTTTATTTCTAATATAAGTTACCAAGTGCTGTAGCTGCGGTTATGCCAATTTCACAAATGTATAAAAGAACAATTTAACGGTTTCGTCAAAGGAGAAGCTTCTCCGCTCGAAGATTTGCATAACTGTTTTACGTCGATCTTAAATGAAAAATATCCATCAATAAACTATTTTAACGAAAAATAAAAAAAGAAGAAAGCATAAATCGGCTCAAAATAGAGTGGTATATTATAATATCTGGCCTGAACCTCTGAAAAAACACCAAGTTAGAGTTAAGAGGATTCAAAAAAATCGCTCTGATTAAAATGAACATTCTCGATTGATCTACGTGGATAATCTATAATTTTCAATTGCAAATTTAATTTTTAATATTGATACATTTTAGTTAACTTCATTTTTTTAATGCAATTTAAACAATAATAAAATTTTTTACTTATACTTGTTATTTATTTAGCAATTTTATCTTAATTTTTTTTTAAAGGTATTTTAACTAATAATATAATTATTTTTTTGTGTACAACCACCTGGGTTTTTAGCGATGAAACATGGCATATATACAAAATATCAAGTGTTACAACCCTACCAACTCAAAAACCTACTAAAAAATATGCAAAAATAATCCTCTACCATACCACCCCACGTTCAAAGGCCAATATGTAGCCGTGGGTTCTCCTCGATAAAAAAAATATACATGATTTTTAGTTTTTTGGACAATTTTTCTTCGATCAAAATTGTTGTTTAATTGATGGGTTCCAAATATACCTCATCCAATGAAAACGTGACATGGAATTTCGATTGGATCTGAAAAAGTAACATTCACCAACATTTTAACGGGCTCTTGTGGCTGATTACGTGAAATCATAGTTTTTTTAACACAAAAGTATAAAGATGTTTTAATAATAATTATTATTTATTTTACATACTCCAATAATAAGTTATTATTATTAACAACTGATATTAAAAAATATATAAGTACGCAACGACAAGCTAGAGAATAAAAACTGGTAGAGTGTTATTAGAATAATCTTAAGAGGACGTTACAGTAAATAATTTAAAAAATCGAACACGATGCTTAAATAGGTTTTCATATATTATTATTGTTTATCGTATATATATTCGTATCCATGTGCCATATTGGCGCCACGTCTGTTCATTGCGACGACCACTGGCTTCAAGACCGGATCATGAGTTTAAGTATATATTATTATGTTTATAAACATTATTATGGTCAAGGGGAAATCACATTGTTTTATTATTTCACAGACAGTCGTGTTGAATACTTGGCGTCACTGCTTTTGATTATAGCAATTATAATAATATTGCTATTACTTCTCATGAAATCACTTTAACACTCGCATCTCTCACGCCCACAAACTATATTACTAGTAGAAGTTACTGTTTGCCTATAAATAATTATAAATATGTGTATGGTGTACTAATACACGGGTAATATAAACTGATTTAAAACATTGCAACATAGATTGAATTCTTGATTTATATTAATCACGTTTTTACTTTTTAAGATAAGATAGTTGATAAATATAAAACAGTAAATATATGTTGCAACCGAATACATATTGATTGTTACGTGTTACTTTTTAGTTATAAAAAAATGTATGTTAACCAAAATACTTTTAAGATTATGATACTACGACCAAAAAAAAATTATATAGATTTTAGGTACATAATAATATGTACAATAGTATAATGACTTTTTTTAAAAAAAAAAAAGGAGAGAGTAGGTAACCGCTCTGCTGTGCATTAGGACCTAGTGTCATGTGTATCTGTTCATTGAGGAGTAATACGGTAATTTAGGTATGTGTTAAATTTGAATTCAATGCAAATAAGTCATTCCATACAAAAAGTAATTCTGAGAATACCGTCTGACAGCCTATATTATAAATATGTTTTAATGTATTATATATTTTATATTGCTATTAACGGTAAACATCGGTAGAGCAGTCAAATCACATTGTCAACACGTAATTTATTATTCGCATGTATTATTACAACAATACAGCCGCTATTAAAGTAATTTATTTGTCCATTAGGTACCTAGTAATAACTAATAAGGTAGGTTGGATTAATTGTTGCCAAAAACGTCGCATTTAAAAATATCATTGTGTGTATAAGCTATAATAATATAATTTAAAAGTTCCAAGTAGACCACTAGTAATATATATTTGAATTACAACAAAATAACTAAAATTATTATTATTTGCTTGAATACCTAATATCACAAAAATTTGAACTTAAATTTATCTATAAAATAAAAACTGTGTTTATATACTATTTGATTTTTCCGATACAGTCTAAACTACATATGAAAACCCCTTATGTTGAACGTTCCCTCTTTAGCTATAAAAACTAAACAGTTATAGATTTTTAACTATATAAAATTGTTCACAATTTGGACGATTTTTTATCAAAATTTGAATTTCAAATGTTTATAAAAAATTGTGTTTATGTATATTTAAAATTTTTATAAGTAAAATAAGACTTATGAAGAACTTTGTATTTAATTTTTAAGCGTTTTGCCCCATCGAACAATTTTTCATCGACATTAGGTATTAGAAAAAAAACTTTTTCAATTATTTTGAAAAGTAATAGTCATTTTTTACTTTTTACCCCCTAAAGTACCAATTATATTCAATTTTCTACCGATAACCACTCTCATTTTTAATATTTCCAAAGTTAGGTTTAATGGCATACTTCATTGTAAACTCATTCATGCAACGCTCCACTCATCAAAATCTAAAACGGTGTCAGTACCATTGAATACGGATTTTTTTTACAGCTTACAATAATATTTTTCAATATGGGAGTAGAAATAACAATTACACATACATTAAACCAATAAAGAAATTAGAAATTCGTTTAAGTCTTAGAGAATATGAAATCAATCAAATAAGAATAAAAAAATTGAAGTCTCAAAAATGAATTGGTGAACATTAAATCAAATAACTCGAAATAATTCCCCGTATTTTAGTATGTTGCAATGGGTAATTTAATTTCAGCATTTTAACGAAATGAATATACTACATTGACCTACTTAATACATTTTAAACAAAATTTCAGTCCTCGAAAATCGTCAATTTAATAGTTTGTCAAAACTGTGTTTTTAACCAACAAATGACCCACGCGATTAAATATTTTTACAAAACTACATACAACTGTGAGACAAAAACTTGGATATACGAATTGAATGGGTGAGCACATTCGATTAAAATTTAGTCAGCATTTTAATATAGAGCATAAATATTTCGATTGACAAGTTCGGTTGAAATCGCTCCAGGCGTTCCAGAGTAGTTATGCACTTATGCTGGAATATACTGCAAACATACATATACACTTTCGTTTTTAACCTTCCATTCATTATTTACTAACTTACTGTACCTACTAATGGACTCTTCAGGTAAAAAAATAACAACAAAATGTAAGCACCTAAACAGCACAGACTTTTAACCTAAGATAATACACACTGGAATTCATAACCGTAAAAGCCAAATTTTTTAGGTGTTAGCTAAAGCCCTCCTCTTTAAATATTTCCTAAAAATGTTACATACTTAGAACTAAGTACTGACTTTTGGATTGGAGGACTTGGTAGACAATTGAAGGTTTCCTACTTTTCCAGTAGATTTTCCCAACATTTTCTTTCATACTAATCTCGTTCTGACAATTACAAACACAACAAAAAAATCAGCCAAAACGGTCAAGCTGTTTCGGAGTTAATCTTTCTAACTCTTTTGGCTGTAGCACAGTCAGGTGTTTTTATTTCACTGATAAAATCTTTTCTTTTTTGAAGTTTCTACAACAACTAAAATTAAATATGCATTTATAATTTATAAATCACATAATTATTGACCTAATTATTACCTTGCAGTTCAAGAGTACACGGAGGACTTACAACTGTAATGCTCTAGGGGCCTCGGCGGCTCTTGGTCAGTTCTAAAACAAATAATTGAAAATATTAATGTATCTATCAATAAATATTCCAAATCATACGTGTTAAATTCAGTCACAATCAATATAAAATAGAATAACATATTTCACACTGCATTTATGCAATGAAGGGTGTTCCCTGTTACATAGTAATCATTATCGCACCAAGGCTATCGCGGCGTTTCGCGATTAAAGACGACAGAAATGGCTATAATTACCGAATAAGTGCATTGTAAAACAATATATTTACGATAGAATTACTGTATTGTCGAGTCAAATATTATCTTATACGAATTTTTTCGTATCAGTAACTGAGTAGCATAAGTCATGAGTGTAATACTGCAATGATACTGTGCACATGGTACTCTTTAATAATTTTATCTCAATTTAATATGCTTTAAAGAATTAATTAAATACCTACTGTATTATAATATAAAATGTACTATAAGACTTTTTTACAAAAATAAGATCAACTTTAAAGTAAATATTCAAAAGTAATAGGACCCAATACAGTTTTTCAATGTTTACCATGTGAAATTTGGAGTTCTTGAATGTGATATAATACAAATGTATACGCAATTTCTCTTTTTCACTCCATCCCAGTAACTTCTGCAGGAACAGAAAAATCCTTCAGCAAACTTAAAATTATAAAAAAAATTCTTAAGAAATAGTACTGGACAAGATCGACTTAAACATTTGTCTTTTATTGCAATTGAAAACGAGGTGACTTGAAAATTGCATTTGAGTGATGTGATAAATAAGTTTACTAATATTAAAGCTCATAAATGACTTTAAATTAAATATGTATTTTTAAATTATGACAAACCCCACAATGATTAATAATAATATGAATCTGATATTAATAATTTGTTTAGTAATAAACTGGATCTTCTTTGTATTTTGTAAATTTATTAATAATTAAAATGTATTGTTCCAAAGTAAGTATTTACATTTGAAAAAAAAACAATATTAAGTGTAAATTTTATATTTTTTTGAAAATATTTGTTTGCTAACACGCCGCATTATTTTTAATTATTTTTCACAGCCTTCGGTCGGTCACACACACCATACACATTTTACACTCGCTCACACACATATTTGCGTTTCATAGAAAAACGAGTGATATCCGAGGCAAGTTTAGTTATGTAAAGCTACCGGCGGTGGCCCATCCAATATTAGTAAAAGGACATAATTTATTTATTGCCCCTTTTCTCATCTAGCTACGCCACTGTTCCAGTGTATAATAGTGTCCAAGCTTTTAACACTGTTCAGTAGCGTGAGTCCGTAAAAATAACTGAGAAAAGTAAGTCTCTTATTTCATCACTCAATTTTCCGATTACAGGAGTTGGTTGGTTCGTGTATAATAACACTTAAGATCGGATTCTCGAGTGCCATTGCCAGTTTTTATTGAGTGTTACAAAATCTATTGGAACAATTCTAAATCTTTATCAAATATAGATAACTGAGATAATTTATACTTTTATTTTACACATAGTTGCTTATTTCAAGAGTTTTGCATAAGAATGCACAATTCAAATTTTATTTCACATTTTATACTGTGTACAATATGATTCAATAAAATGTGTGTGTGTGTGTGNGTGTGTGTGTGTGTGTGTGTGTGTGTGTGTGTGTGTGTGTGTGTGTGTGTGTGTGTGTGTGTGTGTGTGTGTGTGTAGTCACAGTCACAGTCTATAAGTATATCGCGCTCATGGTTCTGAAATATGACACATTGGTACATAATATGGAGTCCTATACCTGAAAATGTGCATCTTGAAACCTTATTTTTTAATTTCGCATTTTAAAGAAGGGTTCACACACGGTTTTATCGGCTCAATAAATCGAATATTTTTATGTTTTTTAAAGCGTTGTTATTGGTAACAATAAAGTAAAATAATAAAGTAATTCCTATAATTTGTATTATTTTAGACCTAAATTATATTATTCAGTTTCATATATTACCCCGAACTCCGAACTCAACTATCACTTAAACTGTTTTATAAGTAAATAGATACAATATTACAATATCCAGGACTAGGTATTAGTTAGTTGAAAAATTAAAGATAAGTTATATACCAAGTTACTTTTTTTTAAAGTAATTTCTAGCTTAACCAGTAAAAAATTGTTGTTCAATGATATGCAATTCCTAATCTGTTCAACGATTCCATAGTCATATTATGTTAATTTTTTTTCCTAATATGTATTAACCATATAGGCTTAAAATGTATTTTGTTTTGTACAAATTATTATTTAATAAAAAGAAGATATTAAAAAATAATTATAGCCTTATAATATATTATGTACCTATATTTTAAATGCTAAATCTTAGGCTATCAAAGTCTCGAGTGCTTAACGTACTACTCGTCTTTTTTTGATTTCAATTGGAATCAAGATAATATAATACGTACCTATTTGAAAAAAAAACTTTATACACATAATATCCATGGAAACATATTGGCAATCTCACCCAAACACATAATCAAACAAAACCTACACTTTTAAGTATATTATATTTACTCGGCAAGACGAGTTAAGAAAATCTGTTAGCTTGGCCAGTCTCGGGGTGTCGTCAATGGGTGACTTCTCATTCATACCAATAATCCCCCTTCAATTTACTCATTGTATAACTGTGTAATTACAGATTGTAAATAAAAAACTATGTTCAATAAAAAAAAAAACTCGCCCAGCCTTGATAGTTGTTGTATTGTTTTAACATCGCGATACTCACTCGTCGTACCAATGTCGTAATATTTGTTTGTTGGCACTTGCCACAGTCAATCTCGATGCTCGCTCCCACCACGTGTTTGGTGTCATAGCGTTAGATAATAGTTTCGCTAATGCCTCAAATCGTATCGTTTTTCCCGTTCTTTCCGCTCTCGCGCGAGAGTGTCGCATATATTATAATGTTATTATTTATTCCTCGTCATATTTTCGTAAACGTCGCGAGCTCTTCATATAAGCGTAGTGACGTCTACCGGCCGGACGCGCTCTTGCGTAAAACCGAAATATTGTTATGAGTTCTTAATACTGTCGCCGGTCCTTTTCTAGTTTTTTTATATTTCTTTCGAATCACGACAAGCGATCCGACACCGTAATAACATCGTTTCGACTGTAATAATAATAACATAGCATAATCATAAAATTACCTCAAATAATATTATAAGGACGCCACACCAGTATGACGTGTTGTCGCCGTCTAACAAATGTATAACACGGTAAATTTTAAAGTTCAAAATAATTCATTTTACTCCTCTGTTGTATTTAAAATTACAGTGAATTGACATAATATTATAAAGTGTAAAGGTAAGATCATTATCCACGGCACTTCAGAGGTTATTAATGATATTTTAATTACGAAACGAGTTATGAGTATTTTAACATTGTAGATTGTTTGTACATTTTAAATGTAAAAAACCTTACCTTTAAATTTTGTAATAAATCGTTAATTCACTCTAATTTTAAAAACAAAACAACATAACAACAAAATGGATTATATTAAACTTAAAATTTGTCATGTTCTATACGTTTTTGTAAGACGGGACAACACATGATGTGGGTGTGACGTCCTCCTAACTCATACATCAAAGTCGAGTCTCGATAACTCGAATCTCAAGGAGAATAGGAATAGATTCGAGTTTCGTAAATTTCGAGTTTATACCTCAAACAAAATATTAAAAAACACTTCAAGGGGCAAGAAATAAGTTAGAACTATTGAGGTTTTTGAGTTATTGAGGTGTTCGAGCTTTTGAGGTTGGAGTTTTCCGCTTGACTCGACTGTATTATCTTTTGTCTCACCCGCTTTAGGAGAACCGCGACCATATGAAATGGGAGACGAGAACAACGGAACCGGTCCGGACGCACAACGACAATTTCGTCTGCAGCCACGGAAACAATACAGCGTGCGCATCACCGACAACAATGACCGGCCTACGTGGTGGTCGTCGCTGTTGTCCTGGTCCGATAAGCGGTGGCCGGCAACTGCGGCGGACGCTGTCGCTGTCTTATTGTCCGCGGCCGTGGCCTGGTGTCTGCTTCTCGTGAACGTGTCGCCAGGGCTGATGGCAGTGCCCGGTGGTAGCGTGGCGTCCATATTCATGCTGTACGTGGCCGGGCTGGCCGCCGGCCATGCGGTCGACGTGGTGGGCGGCCTCCCGCCACTGCTAGGCATGATGGTGGCCGGCATCGCTCTCCAAAACTTAGGAATGTACACCGTCACCGCCAACTGGTGCATCAACCTGGTAGCAATCATGCGGTAATAACGATACAATAATGTTGGATTTTATATTTGTAAATCAAACTTTTCTACTAAACGCACACGAGTTAAGTAGCCAATAATGTTATAGCATATCATTGGAATCCGCAATATTGTTGTCCTAACTCAGAAAACTCAATTTCGAAGTTTTTACATTATTTACTATTTAAATAAATGTGCCTAACTAATAAAAAAATATGCAGTTGCAACAAATATTATGAATTCAATAGGACGATAAAAAATGTCAATGAAACATTTTCTGTTGTTTGTCTTTACTAACATATTATATTCAATATGGATTTATGACAATACATTACTAATTAGAAAACGGTATTATTTAAAAATCAGCCAATGCTGCACAGTGCTCAGAGCTAAGTTCCATTTTTTTTCTTGGTGAGGTGAATATATTAATATTACCACTATTATAAGCCGTGTGCAAAAACTAAAAACAATAAGTGCAAAAATATTTGTAGTTTTTAGGTGGAGTGGTGTGATTTTTACAATGAATACCAATCTCCTTGAAATATAATACACCACCTTTCCAAAAATATCTTTTACATCACTTGACATCAGTACAGTAATCTTATTTTTAAAGCTTTTTAATTTTTACTATTTATAGGAACAATTGTGCACAATTTTCATTTAACACGTAAAATAAATACTTTGATATGCATAATAAAGTATAAAGTTAATATTGTTACTAGAAAACAGAATAATACTTAACTTAATAATTATAATATACTAGCAACAGTAGTAACAGTCACGGTAGGCGAAGTTTAGCATAACAATAGTAATTGAATATTTTATTAAATTTCAAGTGTATTATGAACAGAGGTGGCCAATTGGGAGGAGAGATGTTTAAGATATATTTGATCGAAAGATCAATATTAATAATGATATAAACTATGAATTGTAATTATTTTGATGAAATAGTACATTTTAAAAAATTAGGCGCATCTCCCACAATTTCAAAATTATTCGACCGTCATTACGTCATACCGTTATTACGAATGTGACTTATATATTGAGCCATTACACTCTTTTCAAGTATACATAAATTGGATATCAAGCGTTTGGATAAATTCAGTCTTTTATATTCCTCAACAATGTTTAATACAAGAATACGATGAATTTGATTACGAATGGGTGAGGGAAGAGGCTAAGAGTGGAAAAGTTTTACACGTAAACCTTTCAAAAATAAATTGCACTAGGTACTCAACAACATATATTTACTCGATTCAGAACCAACAGTACTATTTTGAGTTCAACGCATATAATTATTAACATTTAAAATAGGTATACCTTTAATGTCTAAAGAGAGTAGAGACTTGACACGGTTCGACACTTGCTGAACTTTTGAATCTACTCCTCACTACATTGTCACTAATTTATACTAAATCCGAGGAGAGGCAAACTTTCACAAGACACTTATCTGGTTACATATTTTGAACGGGACGAGAGTATTTTAATTTTAAACGAATTTTAAAAAAGGACTGAAACAAATTTCGATAATGGTTTTTAAATGAATTAATACCTAAAAAGTAAAAATTGAACATGACTATATATACTATAGTACTATACTAGAGTAAACATTTCAGCTGTTTAAATATTTTAACAGCTGCATACCTATATACAAATCAAATGTTATGAAACGGTCTTCGAAAGTATAGGTACTATATTGTGTCAAATTTTAAAGTGGTCTTATCTTAGAATTTATTAGTAAGCCAAAGTATGTTTTTTTAGTTGAAGTTTTGAATTGAAGAGGCTATAAGTTCCTCAATCTGAAACAAAAGTTTTCTTCAAAATTTTAAATTGAAAATCGTAAATTTTGAACAAAAAAATTCGTGTTACAGAGACACATTGGTTCTTGGACATCATAAACCATAATATTGTTTTAACGTATTTGGTTGATCGTCATGCATCAATGATATATTGTTTACAGAGAGGCTGCGCTGTCGGTGATCTTGATCAAAGGTGGCTTGGAAATGGATGCGGGACAGTTGCTTCGACTCAGCGGTGCCGTGACCAGACTGGCGCTGTTGCCGTGTGTGGCCGAAGCAGCGGCCGCGGCCGTGGCCGCTCATTACATTTTGCCCAATTTCTCTTGGGAATGGGGTCTGATTCTCGGGTGAGTAAGTAATAGAATTGATTATAAAAACTATAGATTGCTCACTAATCAAAATCCGTGCTCTAAATTTATTACCTGGTGTCGTTATCAGGAACTGACTAGGCGGCCAGGTTATTATATACGCCGACCTGTCAGTTCTGGATCGCTAGTAAATACTAAATTCAACACATGGATTTTGTACCGCGTTGAACAATTTATAGTATTTATAATCAATTGTAATTGTAATAATTAAACGGCTTAGGCTTTTGATAAAAACAATTAGCAAATTATAGCCGAACAGATCCTTTGACCTCAAACTTTTCTAGTTCTATAATGTAGGTAGGTATGCGGTATGAGGACACTGTTTATACGGTGCGTTCCACAAATAATAATGAACTGATCTTGAATATTTATACATTTATGTTAATAATATACTAATATATGATATAAAAACGAATAAAGCACAATATGTTGCACGATATATTCCAACAAAATATATTCTATTTCATATTGTTTTAATCTAGGTGTGATTTTAATAAATTTTGGGGGATTAGCCCCCCCCCCCAAAAAAAAAAATATTTCTATGCTCCCACCATCCCCAAACGATATCGGGACGGTACTCGAATTCCTGTCACACTCGCTCTACCATATTTGGTGTGACTGGTTACAGTTAACTTCGGATGTACGTCAATTTATAGAAAATAATTTAGCTCACGACAATCAGTTATAATCATTTTACCAAACGACAATCTCTCTTTAATCACAGATCTTATCTGAGTTAGTCACTAGCTTCCATTGTTCGTGTAGATTAATAATTGACCACATATAAGCAGTTGTAATACAAAAACAATAGATATTTGTAATGTGAAGACATAATGTGCATCAACTACTAATTATATTAATAATACAAACATAGAAGATAGTATCAATTGGCATTGCCAACAATTTTCGATATTGCAAGCTTAGGTTAAAAGTTTAAAATATAGGTATTTAGTATACTACTGTAGTATTATAAGTTGGTATTGACTTGGTAGGGTTATTTTTGTATTATTTCTTTAATTTATGTCAGTGTAATTATTGTTCATACATGTTTAATTTTAATTTTTTTCTTTACTATGCATTTTTCACCTATTAGTTTTAAAATAGTTACTAAACTGTTATAAAATTCGACGTACCTATATTAGTTTGATTGATTGTCGTTGCATCGATGAACTATCTTGCGACAAATTATTAACGATCAAACAACAAGAAACCAGCTACAGTAGCTACCTACTGCTGTTGATGAGTTACTATGGTGGAATGAAAACAAAGTGATAACTGATAGAGTCGACTTGAAATTATCAGTTGTTTCTGGAAGAGACATTTGTTTGAGCGTTCGAAACAAGAATAACACCAGAAAAATATCTGTGATTTTCTGATTTGAAAAATAATGTAAATTACTAAAGTTGGTTTATTCTTAATAAAACGCTCTGCATTACAACAATATTATCCTATTGATTGGTATTATATAAAATAGGTACAGATAATTCTTGAATGTAAAACCTTAAAAATACTCTTAACATTAACTTTTTAACACTGATGATATTTTTAACCATAATTGTCCTTGTTTCAATATCGATGTATGTTGAGTACATACACAATATAAAAATACTACCATATCTGTGAAAGTCTGAAGAAGGTTGATGACCAGCGACCACTGATAACTGATAAACACATAATTTATAATCATATATTATTCACTGAAGTATTTTCCTAAAGCTGTTTAAGAGGACGCCGCGCCGTACCCGCATGTATTGTATCCGTCTTGTCTTACACACGCACGACATCGCACATTTTCTTTCTCAAGTTTCAATAGTGTGCTGTTAGTTTTGATATTAGAGTAAATTGACCTATCATAGAATTTAAACGTGAGATCATTATCCAAGGTCCCGGTAGGCTTTTATTGATAGTGATATAGTATTATTAATAAGTAGGTTGTGGTATTTTTGAAATTGTAAATTTTAAATGATCATAATACTTTCTTAAAAATAATAATATCAATGAAAAGCCTACGTAATACCCTAGATAATAGTCTTAAATTTAATTTATATAATAGGCCTTTTAACTATAATAATATCAAAACTAACAGCACACTATTGGAACTACTATTGGAACTGATTTGTTGGACTGTTTGTCCATGTCGTACGTGTATAAGAAATAGACACCATAAGAGGTACGACCTCTTAAGCAAGTTAGTTGGCCGTACCTGCTAACTACAATGTATCTACACGTTGAGGTGTATATGCCGTACATAATATTTAAATACAACACTACGTTAAATTATTATGATCAGCTTGACATCTGGTCGAATAGATTAAAACAATATTTTCGTTATTTTACCAAAGACTCATACGATGAGTTAGATCGTGTTTTAATTACATTGTATGCTGGTGCACTAATTTAAATAGTCGTTATGATATTACTATTTTAGTATAGCTTTATACATTGAAAATTAAATTTGCATCAAAATACTACATTAATCGAATAAACCACCAACTGCAGTAGAATTTATACGATTTTGAATAATTTGGACAATTGATTGTAACATATGCTATTTATCATTTGTAAATTGGTTATGAGTCATTGGCATCATTGAATTTAATTTTCTGGGCAAATAATTTCCAACGTAATTTAAAATGAAAAAAGTTCTTATTAAGTACATTATGTTCTAAAAAACCAATGAATAACCTTAAATGAATTATTTGGTGCATAATAAAATATAAGACGTGCAATATCCACTGGCGGTTAATAATATAATATCTGTAGGTACCTATTTCGATTTTAGAAGTCAATATTTCAAAATGTTAACTAAAACAGTTTGTTTACCGTCTTATTTATAACATTTTCTTGACTTAATGGTGAATATTAATCTAAAAGTATACTACAAAGTATAAACACAATATTATTATGTACAAGTGTCGTAAAATTAATGATATCATAATATTAACTTTACCGTAGTAGGTACAACGATTATTAATTCTTATTTCTTTATAATCGTGGTAGGTACCCACGCAAAACATTCCAGCGCCCAGCAGCTATACCGTTTCAGATTCTGTCCTTGTAGTTAACAGTATATTATAAATATATTGATCATATGATATTGAAGTTTTAGCAATACAATCGAAGACATTTTATAAAAATTGTATTTTCGTTTGATTTGTGTAAGGTTTGTCTTATCAGCCGTCAGTCCGGCTGTTTTAGTGCCGAACCTGTTAAAACTGAAACAAATGGGTTACGGTGAAAAAAACGGCATCAATACGCTGGTGATAGCTGCGTCAAGTTTAGATGATATTGTGTCAATCAGCGCTTTTGGTGTCTTGTTGGGCATCGTTTTTTCAACTGGTACGTCAAAGTTGTAAAAAATATATTGTATTATATAGTGTAATGATATTACCTGCTTTGCATTGAAGAGGACAATTACTTATACTCCACGCATCGACCTAGAATAGAGATGGCAAACCTTTTGAACACTGCATGCCCGCCCAAAATTACCCTTTTTTTTTTAAAAGCGTGCCTTGAAAAAAATATTAAAAATATTATATTTTGTTATACTATAATTTGATTGTATAATTAATGTATTAGTATAAAAAGGTTAGTTTAGGTACATAATAATTGTAATAATATTGCTTTGTTAATTATTTATTTTGATGTGTATTTTGTTGTTGAACACTTGACGCCAATTCGTTGATATTTGGTTTATAATTACCCAGTAACTTTTAATAAAGTATATACGGCACTGCATTCATCGGTTAATCGTTAATGACCGATAAAAGCCATATTATGCTTTTTACCTACTACCTATAATATTATATATTATATAATATATAATAGTAAACATTTTTGCGTGCCCACAAAATCTTTTCACGTGCCCACAAAATCTTTTCGCGTGCCACCTCGGGCACGCGTGCCATGGATTTGCCATCCCTGACCTAGAAAATACGTTGTATGCATATTTTTAAAAAGCACATATTTTTTGGAATACTGTTAACTGTGCGCATTGAATAAATGCGTTGCATCTATACCCATTTTAAAGCATATCTTTAACATTTGCAGCGGTAATGTATAAAGTATAATTTATAAGTACAGGGTGCGCCATATAATAAATGGTATCAAGTGTTACTCGTCGAGGGATGGGCCGGTGACGAGTTTTTTGGTGAACTATTAAGTTTAAGACGTTTAAATTGTTACCATGTCTTAGCACCAGGTACAACGAACGTTCACAGCAGAGAATTTTTTTTAAACCAGCAATCAGTTAATGTGACATTCCACATGAGATCATTGCAAATTGCAATAGTGTTCCAAAACATTAGGAGATACCTTATAGTACCTTACCCCGTGTATCCGTAGAGATGGACACCATATGTATGATATTGAGTTCTATACAAAAGCCACATTTTTGTACAGAATCTTGTTAACATATAACAATTTAATTCGATCAATTTTTGAATTTTTTTTACTTTTTAAAATCTATCAATTTTTTATGGCGCTCTCTGTACAGTAATATAATATACTGTTCTAGTGCAGTTATAATAGGACACTTTTTTTGGGGGGGGATAATCTTTGGTATTTGTAAACAGGCAACTTGACCAGTAAGATCGTTCAAGGACCCGAAGATGTTTGCATTGGGACGGCGTTGGGACTTGTGTGGGGATTCCTCTTGATGTTCGTGCCGTCCGCACCGTGGGCAAATGTGTCTTATAATACCCAAAAAGGCAAACACGATGACGGGGAAAATGATGAAAAACAAGTAGGTCAATAAAATGATGATGACGTGAGGTCGATAAGGTGCAACGAATGTCTAATGTTTTCAACGTGTCACGAAAAGACGGACCGGTCGGTGACAGCCATGAGAGCGTTTCTGTTGGGTGCCGGTGGTATTCTGGCCGTGACCGGAAGTCAGTGGTATGGGTATCCCGGGGCCGGTCCTTTGGCTTGTATCATATCGTCGTTCGTGGCGGGCACTGGTTGGAAGTGGAGAGAAAAAAAGCAAAACAGTCTGGCCGTAGTTTCGACACCCGACGAAAAAGACGACAAAAAAGCAAACCCGGTTGAAGCGGTGTTCGAGAACATTTGGTTCGGGGTCCAGCCGATTCTGTTTGCGTCCATTGGCACTGAAGTCAAATTCGAACTTCTCAGGGGTGGTGACATTATCGTTGCTGGGCTATTGGTACTCGTTGCCGGATTGATAGTAAGTAATATTATAGAGTGGATGCGTGGTATAACATTATCAGCCAGTCAGTTTTACATAATTCTTGATTTATGATATTCTATAATAAGTGGGTGGGTTGTATTCAAAAAAAAACATCAATATTTTAGATAAAGAATTTTTAATTAAATCCACTTTCGCTTCCATTCGGATGTTGGATATATTGTCATTTTCTGTACATTTTAGTGTGATAATTATAATAATATACTGTACCTACGTAGGTTTAGATTAAATTTTTATAAAAAATATTATTATTTTAATTTAATGTTATATATACAACATCACTTTTGGGGGGAATATAAATGCTTTGATTTTCTAATTCAGCATTTTTTTCTGGTACGAAATTTAACCAAATTGGAACTTTTGGTGGTAAAAAGTGAGATTTCTTAATAGTTTTCAGAAGTGTCTGGAAAAAATAAAAATCAAATAATGAAAAATGAGGGTCCTTGCGCTAAACCAATTTTTAACGAAATAGATTTAGTTTTGTTTGATAGTTTGGTGCAACTCTAAAACTAATAACTGTAGATACTTTAAATTCTCATAAGTTCACCTGAAAGTCAAATCAATTTTTTATAAGTGTATGAAGTTCAAGTTTTAAAAAATTCATCAAAATCCCCATCATTTTCAAATTATTATGTAGTTAAAAATATTGAAATGTACAATTCTCATAGCTAAGAAATAATAAAACATGGTTTCTCATATTTTAATCAAAAAGTCTTAAAAATATAATATAGACACAGTTTTTTTTTTTTGTAGATAATTTAAGTTCGAATTTGGACGAAATTAGATATTTAAACAAAAGTAAAATAAACTACTTTAATAGCAATAATACAATATACTTAGTTAATACAGGAAGACAGACCTGAGTCTTCGCTCAGAATCGTTTTTCGTATACAATGGTTATGCATCAAAGTTAACACATCCATTACAGTTATAAATCTAGACACTTAATGTACAACAAAGTGGTACCCACGTTCCTACCATTTTTGAAATTAAAACCAAATCAAAATGTAATAAAATAAAATAAAATTTGAAAATAAATAAATTATTAAAGTTCTTAAAACGAAAATTGAAGTTAAGTTAGTAGTTAAATTGACTGGAACCCAAATGTATAACTGTCAAGACTCAGCTAAGTCGAAACATTTAAATTAAATGCAATGAACTTTTTTACTCGTTAATGCCCAACCTTGCATCTATCTATGTATATATCTTATATTATAACATTACAAAATACTCTATTTACGTATAATGTTAAAGGTTCGTTTAATTGTGACGTCGTGTGCAGTTTGGGGAGCAGGATTCAACATTAAAGAAGTGATATTTATTAATATCGCTTGGCTTCCCAAAGCAACTGTCCAGGTAAGTAACATTATTTACTGTCCTACATTATACATCAAATAATATGTAATCCTTTACAATCCTTTTCCAATAAAGATCTTCTATACCATATTACCATTATTACACGCTTTGTATTAGTTAATCACGAATGATTTTTGTTATTAACTAATTATAATAATATTATGCTTAGTATAATACATTATAATATAAAATATTTTTTTTACGCAGGCCGCACTTGCTCCCGTAGCGTTGGACATGGCGAGAATGATGGGGACAGAAAAGGACGTAGAAAGTGCTAGTCGATTGTTAACCATCGCTGTAATGTCCATACTAGTTACAGCCCCTATAGGGGCATTTGGTATTCAATGGTTCGGTCCCAGGTTGTTGTCCAACTCCAGGCGATAACTATAAACTGTTGTATTGGAATGTGCTAAATACTAATTTAATATGCTCACTTGTGTATTTATTGTTTAACCATTTGTTGAATTAATTGTATTTATAACATATTATGTAGTGATATTATACGACTGTACTTTAAAAGTATTGCAAAAAAAGAAAAGCAAAAAGTATATTACTTATAAGTTATAATCACATAAACGGAAGCCCGTTTGGACAAAATCGCTTTATTGAACTACATATATATCCAATGAAATCACGTAATTATCGAATTATGTAACAATATAAATAATACAATAATTGTTTTTATTAATGACATAAGAGTCTAGACAGAAATCAGTTTTTGCGTGATCAACTCTATAAATGGTTCACGTAGCTTACGTTTTTCCAACTTCGTTATTTCAAAATTTAGGTTTTGTATTGTTTATCCTTCAAACATAATCCAAAAGTGGAGGAAAGTGGAGAATGTAGGATTTTCCTTTGTTTTGTTATTTTTAATTCGAAGCGTGGGCAAAGTTTTTCAAACAAATATTAAATTACACATTTATAAAAACCCTTATTAGTGTAAAGGAGTTTTATAATATTGACGATGTCATATCACGTCGGTTTAATTGGTATATTGCTATAAGTTGAGATGTTCCAAGCTTTCAGTTGACTAATAAATACAAAAGTAAAAAGTAGTTATTTTATTTTGAATCAAAACAAATATGTTTCATTTTCATAAACCTAAATAATAAGCCTATACATTTATTCATGCATAAAATATATTTATTTTTTGTTTACATTTCGCTACACATAACTCATAATTCATTAGTCTTACGTTACAACTATATTATGCTACACGTCTAAATGGGCCATGGGGGCCTCTCTTCCTCCTCCCTTCAAATGATTTTGAAAACGAATCTTGACTTACCTAAGAGTTAGTGGATTTCTTTCAAACTTAATTTGGTCCTAAAAAAAAAAACAGCCAATCAATCTTGAGGACACTAGTTCACGTCTATAATTATACTATGAAGTATGAATACTTTTCGCCTTTAATAATTTGAAATACATTTACACATGTGAAGATCGAATTTTTTCATACAATTTTAATTGTAAGACATGACAATATCAACGATTAGTCTGAAAATCATAACACATCATTTTTATATTACATTACATTAATGAACACTTAAACATCAGTAAAAACGGTGCACAACAATTCCAAGTTTACATCGCTGTCAGAAACGTGAGTATTGCTCAGTAAAATGTAAAAATAATTCTTATCGTAGAAATGTTGAATACATATAATATACTGTGAGTGTAGAAAGACAAACTAAACTGTCAACACCTATAGTGGGAGAGACGGATGATAGTTTCGATCTCTATATTGTACATCGACTTTTTATCAATGGTTTATTGAATACGCGTTGGATTACATACTGGTGTCTGAGTGTCTTTTATACCACGGTCACCATCAATATAAATAAGAGTAAAAATCACAGGACACAGAATTATTGCGGTTGAAATCAATTTTTATATTGTGTAATAAATACAGCGGCAGATATCTGTTCCGACCGTACATCTGCAACTGTACATCTATATTTTTTTGTACATTAAATAACATTTTCTTGGTTTTTTCCTTTTGTATATACGTATGTCTGAAAAGCGTAGGTGTATATTGTAGTAGTACAGCTACGTCTTCTACGATGGTTTTTTATTTTTCTTCATTCACTTTGATCGGCGCCGTCGCGAGTTTTCGTATACACACGCGGCCGTCCCAAGAAGTGGAAAGGAGCGGAAAGAAAAATTTCCTAGTCAAAAAACAAGAAACAAAAAAAAAATGCGAGAAAATTTTTTTAAAAGCGTTGACGTCTCGCCGCACAATTCCGTTTTGTTTTCACGGCGAGCGCAAAACGATAAAGGCGGCGGCCGAGACGTCGGTCGGTCACGGGTTTTTGGTTCCGTGGAATGCGATTTCATCAGCGAGAAAGCTATCCGCTCCGGGAGAAACTGCAACCTCCTCTCCTGCAGCAGTGCCCGGACCACACCGACTACCCTCCGCCGCCTCGAGTACCAACACCTCCACGTCCACCACCGATGGCGGTGAACACAAGTTTTTTGTAATACGATTTTGCGTATTTCTATGTGCGTGTATATATATAATATGTATCCTTTGTCAGCACACCTCACTCCGCGAGCGTAGAGAGCTAGAAACGCCACATACTACGCACTACACTGGGCGAGAGGCTCGCAGACTTCTCCTCGCCCCCGCAAACGGAGAAGGAGATCCCGAGGATAAACTTTCCGCGAGAGGACTGCCGCGTACCGGTGACGGATATAATATGCGTATAAAAGAAGCGGTGGCGTTTACGAACTGAGATTGCTCCCTATAAACGTTAAATTCCTACAATTCTATGTGTGTGTGTGTGTGTGTGTGTGTGTGTGTGTGTGTGTGTGTGTGTGTGTTTAAGCGCGATTATAATACATGTTGAAAAACAATACGCATCGCCGTCGTCGCTGTCGTCACATTATCGCAAGTATAACACTACTACTATTGCCACTTCATTATACTACACAAACTGACGGCGACGACATTCTTTTTTTGAATCCATAGTATACATGACTTATTCATTTATTTATTCGATTACGTCTGTTCAATACTAAATTATACTGACACCCATCGGTGTGAATCGAAAAATCTGTTGTTTGTTGACTAACGATTGAAGAGAACATTATATTTTTTTTTTTGCCAAACACTTAAAATTCACATTAACACACTACCGCTTACTCAAAAGCCTAACATGATTGAGAACGAATTTACATGCGTTGTAGTAACCATATCATTTGATTGGCTATATAATGATTGCATGTTGAATTTTAACTAAAACTTAACTGAACAATTAAGTGTAACGAAGAATAATAATATTAATATAATATATTGTTAAAATAAAATATAATATGATAGAATATAAATGTATGTCGTCTATGAAAATAATTTGTTGTAAAAATGTCTAAAGTCATAGATAGTCATACAAATAATAAATATAATTTATTATTACAATCGTATAAATAATTGTGATTAATAATAATAAATAATAAGTTGTGATAAATTATATCTTATAAGTTATAATATCAACTTCTGGATAACATAAGCCTACATATTCTAAAATGTTAATCAATTAACTGCATTTTTAACACATATTAGATATATTTATTTTTAATATTTTGTATTTTATATTTTTTCGATACCTCTTTGTTTTGCCTTGTTCATGAAGACAATGCATCCTCGACTTCTTAATGATATAAAATAAATATTGTAGATAACGACTGAAGCCTGCACTTCCTAAGTCATCATACTTTTATTTCGAGGTTTATTTATGGTATTATTTATCCTGGTCATTACCAAATATCGTTCTCAATCATCCGATAAATGTAATGTCTACGTTAAAAAAAAATAATATTAATTATTGAGCATTCTCAATTATATTGCGAAAATCTCAGTTCTCAATCGTATTTTACAGATTATTAATGACTATGCTGTCCCTATTTATACCTACCTACATAGTTTTAAATGTTTTAATAAATCATAAAAATAAAAAAATACCCAACACCATATCAATATCCACAACTTTACAAAGAGATGAACACAATAATTGCATTTATGTGAGGTATGTCTTTGTAGGTAAAAAAGAAATCATTTTTCCAAATGGAACGATGTACGTTTGGAAACTGTGTTTCTGAAATTCTAAATATGTTGTATTTATAAGACGTTCTAGTCTCTTTTTCGATTGCTTTTGGGATATTCTTTTAGACAACCACCGCAAATAATTCCATTCTTCACTTTAGAACACATATATTTGAGTTGAGTATAAAATATCTCAGAAACTCCAGTAAACAAAGAAACATGTTTCTTCGTTAGGTATTAAAAATAAATATGTTTAGTAATAAAATCATATGAAACTACTTAATATTTAAGCTTTTATATTTGATGCAATTAACCTACAATATTATCTTATGTTATTTATTTTGTTGTATGAATATTTTAAATTTTAATATTTTTCTTGAAATGTACCTATCTATATTCGATTAATTTGATTGAGAAATAAAATACATGTGAATAAGTTTTGAAAAAAATTACTATTAGTCATTTTAAAGTGGTACAAATTAAAGTTTTTGTAGAGAAAAGATTGCTCAGATTACATAAGGCCATTTTATATAATTTTATGTGGCGCGAATTACTAAAATTAATTTTTAAATGTAGGGGAAATAACATTTTTTTTGTCCTTTTTAGCGCAGATTGCATACGCCCATTGCGGTCGGCGTTTTCATTACAAAAGCCATTCTCGGTTAATTTATTTTAAACTACTAGAAAATGACATTTTAAATTCGATAAAAATATTATTGAGATCACAAATATACATACTACATATTTACTATTTATTATTTACGTGCAATATATTATATTATATCATATGAAAAATAATTATTTTACATAATATAGTAACATGATACAATTTATTCAATGATACATTATTACGTAATACTAATATTTATATTAAATGTTCTGAAGTTAAATAAATAATAAAAATATATATGAAGGACTCCCATTATTATAAGTCTTAAATTTTATTGCGGTTCGCTATCCACGAGGGTTGTCTCCCGCAGAGATTGGCGTGTTGCCGCCCGCAGGGAAGGCGACCTTTTATATTATTATTGTTTTTATTATTATCATCATCATCAACGATATATACAGCCGTTGCTATAGTGTAGGTATGCCGGAGAACAATCCTCGTGTAACCCAAACGCAGCTACAATACTTATAAGGTGTTATTATATGGTCATCGACGAAAACGCACGAATGCCGCTTAGGTATAATGTATAGATAGGTCTCTGAAATCGAAAGAAAAAACTCTTATTTCCTCCGGATACAATCCCACGAAATCTAAAGGTCCGATTTATTCGATTTATTTATACACTGTTTTTATCATTACACAAAAGTCCGCTAGCAAAATCCGAGATTGGTCGTCATCGACCACGGGGTTCTACCACTGCGTAATATTCAAACAGCCACAAATATCGACACTGCACCCATGAAAATCAAAAGATTCTACAAAATTTTCCTGAGAGCGTTATTTCGATGGAGGTTTTTCGGTATCATTGTCTCGGTCGCGATGCATCGATCAGCCACCGAAATCAAACTCGCAAATTCCGTTCCGTCTGCGAAGCATATCGATTTTTTGCGATAAAGGCGCTTCCGTGTTATGTGACCCGTGAACGGCAGACAGAAGAGATTATGATGATAATAATAATAGTATAGACTTCGCACAAGTCTCT